AACTCGTAGATCTAATAGTTAATACTAATAAAATCTCTTACTAGTAATAAAGTTAGCTTAACGATAGCTTTCTTATTCTAAAGAATCGAGATTCTCATATTAAAGAATTAGAATTCTCGAGATTCTTATAACGTAGTAAGGGTGATAGCGGAAAGAGCGAGATTTAAAGAATTAGAATTCTCGTGATGTAGAAAGAAATGTAGCGGAAGCGATAAGGATTTAAGGACCTAACTGAATCTTTAATATAGTAAGAACTGCTAATATATCAGAAGTGTGATGCGTAGTAAGCGGTTATATAATGCTTGCTATGCAATAATCTAATATTGCTACTATTGTTATGGTAGCAGGAAATCAATTGCTATTACTATTATAAATTCATGGGTTGAATATAAGACGGTGAGATTCTATAGAGAAATCTACTAATAAGTATTATCTGCCAAGGCACTATAATAGCGCCATCTTCTACCTCTTCGTTTCTATCTTTCTATTATATTCATAATAATATATTATAATTATTATATTTAAAATTATAATTACTATAAAATCCAATATAAATATAATTTATATACTCGATTTAATTTAGAAAAGATTTAAACGTTGTAAGAATTATAGAATTATTCTTATTCAAAAGTAAAAATATAGCGAAACGAAGTATTTTATTATTTAGAAAGATTATTATTTATTTATAATTATTATAAAAAATAGAAAAAGGCTTTTAGAGATTTTTATAAATTAAATTATTTTTTTAGCGATTTAATATTATATAACGTTTATATAATTTAATTTTTATATTAATACTGTCCTGGCCATTACTAAAGATATATTACCGTTATATAACGGTTCTATAACTAATAACCGATAAACAACCGATGTATCACCGATATACAACCGATATGAAACTCAATTCATACTCGTTAGAAGAATTATTCTAACTCATAATTTCACATCGGTTGTTCAACGGTCACGTGATCGTCACGTGACAGTTGTCGAACGGTTGTAAAACGGTTGTAAAACGGTTGTAGAACGGTTATACGATTCTTATAGAACTATAAATAATCTATATAATAACTAAAACAAATTTTTATTTTAAAGTTCTTTATAGGGCTGAAAATTCGCTTAGTATATATAAGCTTAAATATCAACGCTAACAACTTAAAATTCGTTTTTTTCGAATTTTAGCGAAATTTTTATATTAGAAGATATATTATATAATACTACTAGCCTATTCGAGACTTAGTAAAAATAAAAATAAAAATATTATTATAACCATTATAAAACGGTTGTAGAACGGTTGAGAACGGTTGTAAACTATAACCGTAGTGGGTTCTAAGGGAAGAGGTCTTTAGTTTACGACGGTTGTAAAACGGTTGTAAAACGGTTGTAAACGGTTGTAAACGGTTGTAAATCGGTTCTGACGGTTTTCCAACTAGCATAGACCGTTATAATACCGTTCCATAACCGTTACGCTGTTCTAAACTTTACAAAGGCGGACGGTAATACTATATAATTTATATATATTTTTAAAAGATAAAATAAATTTATTTATTTTAATATATATTTTAATTAATTTTTTAAGATTCTAATATTCTAAGTAATTATAATAAGCGTATTATATATATAAGATTTCTTTATTAATTTAAGAATCTAGAATATTAGCGAATAAGAATAAGAATTTAAATTTAGATATAAATATAGATATAGTAAACTTATTATAGATAGAGATATCTTTATTAATAACTATTAAATATATAAAGATCTTTATTTATATATTTAATATATAAAGATAATTATATTAGTATCTAAAAATAACATTATACTCTTCTACTCTAATATTTTTAAGTATAAATTAAAAGAAATAATTTTAATCTTCGAGTTACTTTTAAGAAATTAAATTAAAATTACTATTAAAAATATATTAGATATCTTTTATATATAAAATTCGTTTATCTTTAAAACTTTTATATTTAAATTTAATATATTCGAAATTTATATTTATAGTTAAGCTATTAACTTTATTAATTAAATAATATAATTCAAATAAAATAAAAGTTTAAAAGATTAAGAAGTTATAAGTAATATATTAAGTATAAATATTATTAATAAATTATAAATATAATAATATAATAGTTATAAATATCGAAGAAGTTTAAATTATAATCTTTAGACTTTTTTTAATAAAGGAATAATAAACTTAATTTTATAAAGATTAAGAATTAATAATAAAGTATATAATATTCTCTAGATTAGAATTAATATATATTATAAAACTATATATTATTACTAGCTAGATATACGCTATAATAATTTTAATATTACTAAATTAACGATTAGTAATAAATTTATTAATTTAAATATTTTTATTTTTATCTTTATTATTTAAGCTAGAAAAATTATTATTATTATTATTATTATTATCGCTATCTTTATTATTATAACTATTATAATCTCTATAATTATTTCGATCTCCCCTATTATTATTATTATTTAATTTCTTAAATTTAAAATATAGAATAATATATTTAATATTATTATATTAGTTTTTTTTATAATAATTATAATATTTATAAATTTAAATATAAGTATAAGAGTTATTATCTTAGTATAGGCTTCTTATTAAATTCTATACTCGATAACTTTATTAATAATAATTAACGTAATAACGCTTTATAGATTATATATAAAGGATTTATTAATTAATATAATTAATATATAGACTTTAATATTAATTAAGTTAATAAAATTAATTATAAAATTAATAAATCGAATAATTATATAGTTTAAATTAAACTTTATAATATTATTATTTTTAGAAATATTATAATTTTAATTATATTATTTATAATATAAATTATATAAAAAATTTAAGCCTGAATAGAAGCGATAAATCTTTTAATTTTTATTAAATTTTGATTTTAAAAATAAGTTATCGAATTTATTTAGAATCTCTATAAATTTATTAATATAAAATTAAGAGTTATTATTATAATCTATAAGAGTAATATTATTTATTTTTTTAAATATAAAATTAAGAATATTTAAATCTCGAGATTTAAACTTATTTAGAGTCTTCTAAGCTTTTTTAATATTAATCTTATTTTTAATTTTAAAACGCGATTTTCTTTTATAGCGCGATTTTAATATAATATAGATTTAATTTTATATTTATAGCTAGCTATTAATCTAAATTTTAATAATAATCATATTAATAATTAATTTTATATATTTTTTTTTAATATAGCGCTATAGTCTAAGTAGCTTTAATTTATTCTTAAATTATTACTTTTAGATTTAATAATTAAAGATGTTTTTATTACTTTTAGATTTAATAATTAAAGATATTTTTAAACTTATTAATATTATTAAGATAATTTAAAGAAGCTAAAATTTTAGAATTTTCTAAAAATATAATATTTAAAAACTTAATAAGCTCTCTTTATTAAAGAATAAATTAAATAAACTTACTCTATTAAAGTTTAAATTTAAAAATAAAGTTTATATATTAATAAGATTTAGAGAAGTAATTAAAGTAAACGATATTAATAAAATTAAGCGCGTTTAAAGATTAAAGAAATCTTTATTAGAGATTAATTCTAATAAAGACTTAAAGATTAATTACTCTAATATCGAATTAAAATTAATAAAAAGCTTAATATATATTTACTCTCGCTATTAAAATATCTCTTATAGTATACTAAAGATTTAAGTATATAAAATAAATCTTATTAAATTTTAAAATTAACTCGATATAGCTTAGATCTTTATTTATAAAGATTTATTATTTATTAATATTTAAAATAGTAAATAATATTTAATTTGAAAGTTGTTTATTTTATTCGGCTATTTAGCTGAGATAGCCGCCTTAAAGAAGATACTTTATCTAGAAATCTATAGAGACTTAAATCTATAAACCACTTATATTTAAGTATATATAGAGTATCGTATAAAGGTCTTTATAGAGGAAGGCTATATTAAATAACTTTATTAAATTAATATTAAATTAAATAAAATTAGAGATAAAAGAGTATAAATAAAAAATTAGAAAAACTATCTAAATAATAGATTTAGATTTATTAATTTATCTTAATTACTAATATCGCTAATATCTATATTTTAATTCTTTATAATATTATTTAACTTCTTAATTATTTCTATTACTCTTTATTCGATTTAACTTATTATTATAGAGAAATTAAATATTAAGTAAATAGAGCTTTTATAAATCTTTATTTAATTAGAAAACTCGCTTTAAAGATTCTTAAATATTTATATATTATATTTCTTAATTTAATATCTCTTATAAAGATATAAAACTCGATTTATAAGAATTTACTTTTAAATTAAAGTTTAATAATAATTTTAAATAATATCTAGAGATTAATATATAATTAAATTATTAAAATTATATAATAAATAATATTTTTATAGAGATTAAATAATAGTCTAATAAAGAATATTTTATTATTTTTTTATTAATATTTTTTAGATTAAGACTAAATATTATAAAAGCGATTATCTTATTAATAATTTTTATTTTAAATATCGAGTTAAGAATTAATCGGTCTAAAATAATAATAAACTCTTCTTATATCGCTTTCGATATTATATACTTAATTTATATATAAAATAAGAATTAATTAATACTATAAATAGAGTATAATTATTATTATATTAATATTTAAATAAAATTAATCTCTAATTAAATTTTTTTATAGAGTAATTATTAGAGAAGATTCTCTATATATAATATTTTAAATTTATTATAAATTATAATCTATATTTTATTCGCTAAGACTTTTAATTTATAATAATATTAATAGATAAAAATAAAGCCTTTAATTCTATCGCTAAAATTAATAGCTTTTAATCTTTTATTTAAGATTATAAAATAGATTTATTAAAATTAATTTTTAATAAAAAAATAAAAAAATTATTAATCTTTATAAAGTATTTCTATTAAAATATATTTAATTTTATATATATAGAATTAAGAGTAATAAGTACTAGTTGGAATGGGAGGCTGCTTTCACCGGCCAGTTGGCTTTGTGTGTGTGAACAATAGGTCTTGGTGGTTTCAATGGCTTGCCCATCGTAGGCAGAGAGATTTGATCTTCCGTCAGCCCACTAGCCTCAAGCATTGTTTGGCATTCGTCCTCAAGTCCAGCGGCTTTGGCTGTCGCATATGCCAGAGGGTCTGCGCTGGTTAGCGTCGAGTCTTATGAAAGAGCGGCTGGTGCGAAAGACTTACATAGGTCGAGGTCCTGAAGCATTTGAACCCGGGCTTCGACGTCTCCCAGATACAAAGCATTTTGGAAGCGCGATTGGAAGTCACCACGGTGCTCCGCGATCTTGGCCATTCGGGCAAGCTTCTCTCCGTCGCCCGTTGAAAGATATAGGAAGGACAATTTGTCAAATTGCCGAAGTTTCTGGTAAGTCATTTCCACGATCGTGTGATTTCCGTGCGCCAGGGCCTCAGTACCCAGTCGGGTCCAAAGCTTGGGTCGGTCAAGCTGCTTAGCCATTTCCACAGCGACATCAAGGTTGCCGCACTCTATAGCAAGCTCAAATCTGGTCTGAGGGTCTTGCACAAATTGGAGAGCAATCTCTGGGTACCCCTTCTTCTGCAGGTACGAGATGATGCTTTGACCGACAAGACTCGATGTTTTAATAATCTGCAGCATCTCTTCGTAGTTTCGCTTGACAAGAGCAAGTTTGAAACGATATTCCGTGGGGTCAACGTCTAGCACTTTCGGTTTTGAGGCCCGATCCAAGCAGTATACACTTCGAGCTTTGACTCGCACTAGGTACACGGTCTGGTCGAGTGTTCTGACAATGCCATTGTCTCTGCAATGAAGTTAGCGCACTCCTTCAAAAGATTTACTCTGCCTACCCATTGAGTAATGTGTATTTGATATGATTAAGGGTCGAGTATAGAAGTACGCCGGCGTCATCCCATGCTGCAGATTTGATTCGGATCGTCTCGTGAAGCGTACTGACTTGCTCTAAAGACTTCGTAACAATCGTGACGTTATGCTTGCTAAGTAGAGCTGCGTAAAGCCCATCGCTCGACCAGACAACGTATTTGACCCCAGCGACTGCTAGCTCAGAAAGCTGCTTCTTTTGCTGAATATCGTAAAGAACCACAGATGTAGCAGTAACCAAAAGAATGCATCCAGTCCCCCCGAAAAATACATCCGTGGTCCCTGGAGGTGGCTTGATGGTTTTCGTCGTCGAATTTGTGAGATCTTTGATGTCCACTTGCTGACTTGACTGGGTGAACACTGCGAATCGATTGCGTGCCACGAATATAGCAGAATTGCCTTGGCCCTTCTTAAAATCTGTGGGCTCAATCGCTCCAGATGCATCACGAGGGAGAGGGATCAGCTCGTAAGTACCATTGTCAATAGGGGACGTCACGAGTACGGCTCGCTCGGCTGGATTATAGGAAAGAGTCCTAGGTGGTACCCATGGACTGCCGAATTTCCGGAGAGACAAGATCGCAGGGGACTCGGCGTTCTTCGAGAAGTCGTACGAGCGTACGAACTTCTCTTTCGTGATGTAGAATAGCTGATTTTGATAATTGGCAGAGGCAGGCCTCTCTCTTTCCAGCTTGAAAACCATGACTCCATTGTCATGTCCAGCAGCGAACAGGTTTATCTCGGGATGAGCTGCGATAACCCAGAATCGATCGTTCTCGCGCTTAAACGACTGGACAGATGTCCGCTTGTTCAAGTCCCAGACCCGAATTGTTTTGTCTTCGCCAACTGAAAGAATGAGGTCCTGGTGAGGATGGAACAGACAAGCTGAAGAGTTCTGGAAATGACCGCGACAGGTGTCCACTTCCCAAGCCTTGGTTTCTGTATGAAGTTAGTGCTACAATCGAAATGGAATTGCTAGCAGGCCTACCGCTCATTCTCCACAGCTTGACGAGTCGATCATCGCCCGAGGAGACGATCAATGGCAAAGTTGGGTGAAATGCGACCCAGTTCACGCCTCTGTCATGGCCCTCTAGAACAAACTTGACCACCGCATCTGTATTACCGAACATGTCCGCTTGGTTCGAATTGGCGCGAGCCATTTGGTCTTCGAAGGTCAAAGATGTGGGAGCAGATTGCTTTTTGCGTAGCCCCGAGATGTCCCAAACTCGCACTGATTGATCCAATGAAGCAGAGACGATGAGATCATCCTTGGGGTGGAATTGGGCGCACATGGTGTAGTGGTTATGCCCTGTCATCGTACAGACTAGCAAAAGGATATCAGCTTACGCTTCGCCGTAAGAAGCTTCTCCACTTACTCAGAGACCTGTTCTGCCAATTCCATATCCGGATTGTTTGGTCGTCCGAGCTTGACAGTATCCAAGGAAGTTCATGGTGGAAAAAGACAGTCCGAACGTAGTCCAAATGGCCATTCAAGGTGAAGAGACATCTTCGGCTCTGATACGACCAGACCTTGATCTTGTAATCGTCCCCCCCAGATACGAATAGCGGTTGTGTCTTGTGGAAGTCTATGCCTCTGACGGGTCCATCATGCTCCTCGAACCGATCTATCAGGGTACCCATCCGGTAGTCCCATAGCTGAATCGTGGAGGAATGTAAGGAGACCAGTATCCAAGGTCTGGGATGGGTCAGCTTGGAGAAGGACTCGGAGGCAGGCTGGGCAATGTGCGGACCTCTTTGGGTGGAAAGCAATGCCTTTTGCTCTTGAGGATTTGGACTCGAACTTATTACAGAAATTGATATTAGCCTGGACTTTGGATTCTTTGAAGAAACACTGCGTCATGGTGTGCTACCTTTGTGAGCATATTGGGTGAGGACTGCATGTTGGGCGAAATCTATAGGGGAAGGAGACAGCTCTCCGGGAATGGCAGTCACAACATGTAGAAGAACTTCGGTGCTGCCTATTTTGTGCAAGTAGCAACAGGCCACTGTTGCTTGACTCAAAAGAATGACAGGCGCGAATTGCGTTGCAGGGTGGTCAACTCTCAGAGGTGTCCAGTCCAAAGCTTTTCGAGAAGCGAGGATCTGCGGGCCGGGTCTTGGCGTTGATTTCCACCATCGAACGTTACTTTACAGAGGTCTGCACCGAAAGTCCTGCACATACGCTAAAACTCTTGGCATTCTTGGTATTCTCCGGCAATTTGACAAATTTCTTAAATAGCTTCATTTTTTATTGATAATTCTTTATATAACTACGTATATACTCATTAACTCGCTTATTTGAATTATATAGCCGTATATCCCCTTTAAAACGGCCTTCCCTGTACTCGTTATCGCCTTTTAAACGAATAACTTCGATAATATATCTAAGTATACGTTCTATCTACTTCTAAATTCTCTCTTATAAAAGCTTATATTTCTAGTAATAAGTCTATCGCTTTTTAGCCTCTTTTTAAGTCGTTAATAAATCGTTTCGAGTAGTATATTACTTTATCTAAAATTAATATAACTTAATATAATTTAAATTTAACGAGTTTTTATATTATAGTAATCTAAGTATATTTATAAATATAAAAACTAGTTTCTAAAACTTTAAGATATAGGCTAAGACCTTATCTTTCATAACTACTATATTAGATCTATTCTCTTTATATTTCTAGATAAATTTTAAAAGTAATAAAAGAAGAATCTATATCTAATTAGCGAAAGAAGCCGAAGAATTTAGAGAAATATATATAAATAGATCTTCTTCTAATAGCGATATTAGTTAATTCCCCCTTTCTTTTCTATAATAATAACTTTTCTAATTTCTACTATAAACCTTTACTAAGGCTTCACGTTAGGAAGATTACGTAAGCCTATACGTCTTATATCGATCTAAAGTTTTTACTATAATCTAATCTCGAGCTTTAAGGCCTTATTAATAGCAGCTAGTTCCTAAGTACATTCCTTCTTTTCGACTATTATTTCGACCTTTTAAATATAATATAGACCCTTCTTATCATATAAGAAATATCTTTAAAATATAAACTTTATAGCGTTTACGAAATAATATTAAATAGCGGACTTAATATAGATCTTACCGGGCTAACGCTATTATTATATTTATTCTTATCGAGAGTTTAAGACTATATTAGTCTCGTTAATTTAAATTATATTCTTTTAATCCTCTATAATTTAGTCTTTATATCGTAAAGCGAATTAATAACGAGCTTTTATTTAAGTTATCGAAAGAGGCGGTTTTTTAATAATTTTAATTAACCGAAAGTTATTACGTTTAAGTACTCGTAGAACTATTATTAAGAAGATTCCTTACTTAGTAGCTAATATAAAAGAGATTTTTTTACGATTATAGCGATTCTTTTATATAGCGGCTAAAATAGTACTCTTAAGCTCGAGCGTAATAATAGAGAGTTATTTAAATCTAGAGGCATCGAATATATATAATAATAATAGCTTTTTAGATACGGTGAGGTTATATTCTCTATTACGAGCTTATTATTTTAGACGAGTAACGATTTAATAAGAGACTTCTATAATAATTATAACGATCTTCGCTATAATATTATATTCGATTAAAGTAAATATCTAAAGTCTAATTTCGTTATTATAATTAATACTCTAAGTATTAAATATATTAGAATTAAAGAGTAATAAGAAGATATCTACTTACTATACTAGATATATATTAAATATATACTAAAATTCTTTATATTCTTTCTTTATTTCTCTATTTCTCTATTAACGCAAGTATATATAGTATTAATATCGCTATTATCGCTATAATATATATAGTAATATCGTAATTATATACCTCGTATATATATAGTAATATCGCTACTATGTATCATATATGCATGCATCATATATAGCAAGCATTGATATCGCTACTATGCAAAGCATTGATATTCAAGATATTAAGAATATTTGCCAAGAATGCCAAGAGTTTTAGCGCATGTGCAGGACTTTCGGTGCAGACCTCTGTACACCGAAAGTCCTGCACCCGCCAAGACTCTTGCGCTCAGACTTCGGATAACGCCCCACCTAAAGGGTTACCTGGACAATACGTCTGGAGTTCTTCGGAATCGCACCTAGCCCTAGCCAGGTTTCGGGGCTTACTGCCCCTATCAAGGCTAAAAGAAGTACCTTAAGTCCCATCATGCGCTGTGAGAAGATATTTTTAGGCTTCCCCTCTACAGGGCCGCTTTCCGAAAGTAGGGTTAGGGCTGCACTAGTGCGGGTGCAGGACTTTCGGTGCAGACCTCTGTACAGTCCTTACTTTGGTGACTGGAGAACCACACCCTGCGAAAACCCTCATATTGCGTGACCGCGGAGATAATGCAAGTACTATTGAAGATCAACAATATTCAATCGGCTTGCAACATTTCTATTTCGTCATCCAATTGCAGGAAAGACTTGGCTCAGATCGTTTGCCAGCAGCCTAAAACGTGTTGATATGCTACCTACATTCTTTCGGCCGAGTTGTCTGCTATGACAATCTCTTGCTAAGGTGTTGCAGTGAAGAATAGTCTAGATGTATGTCGGTGATCAAGGCGGACAATCCAGATGTACATCGGTAACCAAATTCCTACAATCCAACTCGGACGACTCGAGATTCTCCAACACTGTCTATAGACTTTCGTCAGTTGTCCTTACACTTCTTGAAGTTCTCTATGCAAAGACGAGTACTACGGTAATGCAACACTCATACATTCTCCGTTTGTGGTCTCCATCACTTCTTCCATGTGGGACAATGGCAACAGAATTTAATGCCATTTTTTTGAGCAAGATAGAAATTCATCCTTGCCATATCACCCTGCTGTTCTTTCTTCTGTCCTTTTTATTTCCGAGTAGTCCTCTCCCCCTCATTTCCCTAAATATATATCCCTCCAAAAGACTTGGTTCAACACGAAGACACCGCCCCGTTCGAGACCATTCACCCTCGTGCGCCTTGTCAAAACTCCCTTAATCTCGCCAGGTCTGACCATGGATCCGGCCCAACCCCCAAGATCCGAAGCACCTGTACGGGGTAGAAGCCCATACGTCCCACTGCTCGATGGTGCCACCAGCGCTGAGCTTGCTCAGCCGACACCTCCCTCCTCCTCCTCCTCAATCCTGAGAAGTAGCACCACGGATCCGGAAACGCCAATCTTCAGTCCCATTCCAAGCCGATCACCCCCATCTCAGATGGCCGAAGCCGGGCCTTCTACCACTAGCATGGCGATCGAAGTCGACACAAACCCCCGGGATCTCCTCGCAGAGATAAACCAGTATACTATCGAACGGCCATCCAGCATGGAGGTAGCTCTCACAGGCAGACGTTCACATTTGTCTGGACCCTACCAACGCAGACGCGAACGCATGGAAAGAGAAGAGCCGCAGGGAGCAGAGAGAGCGATAGAGGACCGCATCGAGCAACGACGCACAGAACGCCGAGCCCATAGGCACAGATTCCGCAGACATCGAGCCTCCAGTACGGATGTGCTAGCCGACAGCCTGAGCACCTTGAGCACGAACGAGCAGGAGCTGAACATCATCCGCGGAGCGAACATCCCAGGTATAACGCGCCAAAATCCATTGGATCCAGCTTGGGTCCATTGGAATGCCGGGAGAGCTCAGCCGATGAGGGACGTCGTGCAAAGCAATCAGTGGAGAGCGGGGGGAATGGATGTTGCTCGCGAAGAGGGTCTAGTAGGCGGAATCATGGCCACTGACGTCGAACGTGCGGATACTGCTTCTGTATATGGTGGACCCACTGAGGATGCAAACATCCAGATGTCCTACCCTCAATTACCCCATCACTCGCAGTCAAGAGAGAACTGACTGAGCGCAATAAATCAAGACTCCATTCCGAGAGATGCTACTCGCGACGCAATGACAGTCCATTAAATCAGTGAATCTTTCGACTTTGAAGATCTTGTAGATCAGTTCTTGTTTCAAGGGTTCCACGCTAGGATACTGAAAGGGCACTTCAATTCTTGTGTATATACGATTCGACATTAGTATTAATGAACATAATACGTGCAATCTTGTCTACTTGCACGATTGTGTTGATGATATGTGCTGAGACAGCCAGGACCCAAGCTGTCCTTTGATTAGTATTACAATTGCTAAATGCCATGCATGTACAGTCTTTCCAATCATTACCCACAAAGGTCTCGGTCTCCTAAACCAGGTCCACTCCTCTGGGTGCCGGATCCATCCCACCAAGCTGCTTTTCCCACGGCACCCAGGTTTGATTACCGTAATTCGGCATACATTTGACAGCCACAGGCGGTGTCGATTCCCACTCAATCCTCGCATCGCTCTCACCCCCTCGTCCCACCCAGCCAGAAACGTAGCCCTTCGCATCCTTGATCTTCGTCGCCGCCTCATCACTATACTCAATATTGACGATTGGTACCACTGCGATCTTCCCGTATCCCAGATGCCACATCTCCGTGCACCAAGTCATCGGTTCGCCCTGCGGACATTCATGCTCATGCGAACCGCGGAATCTGATCTTTGACTCAAGAAAAGGTTTTGCGGTGAAAGCTGTAGCGCCATTCCAACAGGAAAAGACTTGAAATGGCTTCCCCTCCCAAATACGTTCTCGCGCGATAGGGTTATTCCAAAAGATATTCCAGGCTGAGTCCCAATTACCGTCTTCCGGTATTTCGAAAAAAGTGTCACCGTTCATGCCGCGAGCGATCCAGACGTCGTAGAAGGTAGGGTCGGGGCCAACATACGTCCAATCCATACCGCAGACCATATCAGCATGCTGACAGCGGCGTTGGTGGATCAATTCTAAGATGTCCTCGGAGCAGATTGCTACGTCATTGAGGAAGATTATGGTGGTATCATCCATAGAACTCCCCTCGTAATGATAGTCCATAAGTGGTTGCAGTGCTTGATTGCGCAGCTCCGCTAGACCTTTGATGCGATCACCTGCGTTAATGCGATCGCCTGCTGAAGGGTCGATGCCGCTCGAGTTGAAGTAGTATTTGACACCTATACGTTCGATTTCCTTGCGCAGCGACGAAAGGATCTCAAAGGTTCCGTCGTCCGAACGGCCTTCTATAACCGACAGAGCGCAATTTTGTGGACCGAGGAAGCGTATGCTTTCGACGATTGAACCGAACAAGCGAGGAAGTAAACTCGCGCGCTGATGGAGGTCGAGCGCGAAGAAGTATTTTGGGCGCAAATTCGTGGTAGAATCGTGGGGCGTCTCTGAGGACTTGGTGTTAAGGTAATGATATCGATGGTCATTTAAAACCGGGCAGTCCAGTCTTGGAAATGTCGTATCTTCCGGATCCATGATAGCTTTGATATAAGCTGGTACCGTATCGAGCAAAGTGGCATCGCTGTCCTTGAGAGCAGATTTGGATGGCGGGCTTGGGGAAGCAATTGCAGAAGCATTCTCTATTGCGGCAATCGTTGTTTCGGTCGGAAGGTGAAAGCGTGATGCAGTGGCACTCTCTCCTGATAGCTTCTCGGTCTCGTTCGTGAACTCTCCGCCTGATGAAAGGATCCCATTGGGTATGGACGGTTTTGCGTTGAAGAAATCAGAGGTAAAGCTAATGAGAAGATAAAAAATGAGTAGAAAAAGGAGTACGGTCTTCAAACGTACACTGAACTTTGCCAGCATGATTGGCAGCAGGTGGCGTTTCAATGCCGCAAACGAGGAAACATGATTTTAAAGGGTAGCATATTCGCAAGCAGAGCGCCGAACGTGAATGGATCTCATACAGAGATGGAGACAGAGAGAACGTGACGAACTATGAGAGGATAGAGGGATAGAGACGGAAGAAAGATAGGGACGAGGACGTGGATCTAGGATCCAAGGCAGCGTTGAGCGGCAGCATTTTCCTTGACTGATAGGGTATGTTGACACGAAGTGTATGTCCAATTGACCAACGACAGTCATTCATTTCAGCCAAAGACTGTGCGTGTGTGGACTGGGTCCTCATAATACGTACGCACTTTAGTACTCCGGATGCTGAGTGTAGGTATTCACCAGAGTGTTGCATACGTCATGTCATGCAGAATGTATGCAAGGCTAGCGCGTGGGCCTCATGGGCCTTCCGTCATCCGTTTTCGTGCAGTTCTAGAGCTTTATTACAAGACCCAATTTTTCCCCTCACTGATCATCAGAAATGAAATCACAATGTTCAGAATATCTAAAACGACCATTTTAGTTTGCGTACATAGATGGGCTCGACAAGCCATGATGTACCCTCCACTTCTTCGGAACGTGGCCGCTTTATCAAGTGAGGAGGTGACTAGGCGTGATGCTACACTTGCCTGTGATAGACATTCATTCTAAGGTACTTTTCAACCATGCAATATTCTCCTACCCTGTGATATTCTGCTAGCCTGGGATACTTTTATCCTCTACGAGATTGTTTTACTCTTCGATGTTACTCTGCCAGTATCTATAGAAAAAATCCAACGTCGGAGTTAATGAAAGATGTATATCGATATATATATAGAAAGTTTATTCAATACTCATTATTCATATAGATAGATACTAATATATAATCCGTTTATTGTCTATATATAAATATCGTAAACATTTATGATTATAATATTAGAAGTATAGAGATCGATATAAAAAGCCCTGCACATGCGCTAGTAACAGCCCTAACCCTACTTTCGGAAGGCAACCCTGTAGCTAAAGACCCCCTAGAATTATCTCCCGGGAGCTCATGGACTGAATAGACCCTCAAGCGGGGGTGATGCTAGGTAAACGAGGCGAGCTGGACCCTTTTCTTGGCGGGTGCAGGACTTTTGGTGTCGATCTCTGTAAAGGAGATTTTTCAATGATGCCACCGATGCGGCTGCAAATTTACCAGTGTAAGTGGAATTTTTCTGGCTCTGGCATGCACATGCGAATGCAAAAGAAATCGAAACTGAAAACTGGTTAATACGTTGTGTTGCACTATGATTCGTTCTGGGGACTTGCAGCAGTTGAACGGTGGAAAACAATGATAAGATAAAAAAAAAATGCCCATTCTCGGAATCGAACCGAGGATCTTTTCATTATCAAGGATTTGCCTACGAGTGAAACGCAGTACTACGAAGCATTAACTTTGATCTCCGCGAACAAGGGCGATATTGTTTTCTTACCCACTATGCCAAACGGGCAACGTACATTATTTTGGTGTTATTTATAACTATATTCATTATAGCAACTAAGATCTAAATCTGAGTATACTCGTGTGGCCGAGAAGTCTATCATCTTGGCAGTCTAGCTTAGATAGGTTAGCGCTATAGATCATAGGCATAAATTCAGTGTCCAACTGCGGAGGAACGAGATAGTCTGATTGGTGGGTACTCCCGCGCCGGACTGATAAGGTTGTCGCGAAAATTCTTGGCAAAATATGACTTCTGGCTTGTCTCCGCGCAATCTCATTCTCAACATGAGCTATTTTCTGCACAGGTAGAGTTCGGGTATATATCTTTTTACGTATCTATTCACGTGTACTGGTTACTACTTAGATTGAGTATGCACATGCTACTATATGTACTATCTATATAGTACTGTACTTGAACGGAATAACACTTATTCATTACTACCTACCTCCTCCTCCACGGCAGTCAAGCTTTATCGACCTTCCGGAACGCCACGCACCCAGAACGCGGCATGGTATCTAAAGCACGCATCTTGATGTATGTAGTGCCGACGTGTATTTGGCATCACGCATTGCCCTTCCTCCATCCACTTTGCCTTGCTTTTGCATTGGAGTTGCTTCCACACAAACAGTTGCGCTTGTAGCGGATAGACGTTGCTCAGTCGCGGTTAATAACCCTCAAACTCCTCCTCGGGTTCAGTAGCACCCCAAAGAAACTCGGCTCACCCGACAATTCCTCGACACTAGAGTTTGCCGTACTATTTCCCCCTATTGGCGCCTCCCCTGCCATCGGCAACGGTGGTACAGCGGTATATCCACTGCTTCCTGCTCCACTTCCCATCTTTCGACTGCTCTGATCAGTGCTATACTTATTTCTAGCACTTGAGCCTCCAGATGGCGTAGGAGCCAGGAAACTAGACTTCTCACCGCCTCCGGCAGCGGTGGCGCGTTGGGACATTGCAACGTGGTTCTTGTAGAGGGTGAGTTGACGGCGGTATACCCAGGCGCAAAAGCCGAGGTAGCCCGCTAACACTGCAAAACAGCCCGCGACTATCCCAGCGACGATGGCGCCGATGTTAGGGCCGCCTTTACCGTTGTTGCTGGCACTCGAGCCAGTGGTGGAGGCCGTGCCAGTCTCTGTGACCTCGGCACCATTGGAACCGGTAATTGTGTATGTGATAGGCTTGCCGGTCGCTAGCGGTCCTGCTGTTGCACTTTCAGCTGGAGCGGTAACGGTTGCGCCACCACTGCCCTTGCCGCCAATGACTGACTGGACAGGGACCGGGACTTCGTATCCGTAGCTTCCTGAAAGACCAGAAATGTCTTTCTGCTGTGAAACCTGCTGATTTTGCGTGTCACCTCCAGTCAGGGGATTGTAGTTGTTCTGCCACTGCAGACTCGTTGCATTGAAGACGTAAAAACCGCTATCGCAGCCAAGCCCATTGGAAGGAGGACCAGTGTAGCCACCGACGACGATGATTTGGCCATTCCATACATTGCATGTATGCCCAGTGCGGCCCGGCGGTACGGATTGGCCTTTGGTGTCTACTTGGATCCAGGTAAAACTGGGGATTGTGAGGATCCACATGTCACTGTACTGCGTCTGGTTTCCATAAGGAATGAGATTTTGTCCGCCGAACATGTAGATGTTTGTGCTGGAACCATCAGGAGCCGAAAACGCAACGGCGCAAGGATTAACGCGGAGAATAGGGTAAGCACCGGATGTTGATTGTCTATACCATGCTGAGCTGCCAACATCGTAGACATCTATTACGTTCATTTGCGTCTGAACGAGGTTTTATGTTAGCAGCGCAGCTGAGAATTGGAAATCGCACTGGGACTCACAAAGGACTCATTGGTTCCACCTGCCATGCTTACGAGGATGCCGTCGACGCCGTACCCAGGGACATATAAGATGACACCATCCGCTCTGTTCGGAAAGACTGCAGTATCTTGGATTCCACCCTGCGTTACGTTACGCCATACACCTCCACTACCAGCAGTATTGCCACCGCTAAGAGTCTGTACACCATCATTGCTATGGCCAGGAAATGTGAACTCCAAGAGAGATTTCAGGTAGATGCGATAAATCTGTTGTGACCATCCAGGTGTCGTATACGGATCTTGATGACCAGCAAAGTAGAATCCCCTACCTAGCTCAGGCACACTAACACCAGCACCCTCAGCAGATCCTAGAACAGGCTGATCACCACCGTCGCTATTATTGCCAGCAGAAGTTTGCGGATTCTGTGTCTCCGTCCACGTTGAGCTTGCTATATCGTATTGCCACAAGGAGTAAGGAGAGGGATTTGTAATTGGATCGCTCGAGTATTCACCGCCGTAGAGGTACAAGGTATCATACGAGTTCCAGAGGTAGCCATTTGCTACCGGAGGCGGACCAGACGGCTGAGGACGCCCTGCGATGACGGGTAATGCGATATCCCAAGACTTGGTTACATCTATCGTCAAAAAGTCGTTGTTCCAAGTGTCCGACATCTGATCGGCTGTAGTCGTGGTGTGCCCTCCGTAAAGATAGATTGTGCCATTGACGAGTGCACTCTGCTGGCTCCAGCGATTGCACACATTTGTGTCTGTAATAGCCTGCCGCGTCACCAATTTCCCGTCGACAAACTCTTTCTTCTGAGGCCCAAATCTCCTGATGGCACCAGCGTTTGCCCCTATTATGCTTGGTCCTGCTATTCCCAGAAGTGGTGTATCATACAGCAAGGGCATTGCCACCAGCAGTACTAATGCCAGCATCATAAGTCGCGATGAGGAAAATGCCCGCCACGAAGTCGTCCACTCGTTTTTCGATGTAGCGAATTCAAATTGATCCGAAGACTCTGACCCGTTGGGGGATATGGGTGACGCATCATCGCTCTGCAGTGAATCAAATGAATCTGGCTGATTGCGGAGCCGTTGTGTTGGGCGACTGGTGAGGGAATCTATGGCGGTCCTGTGCGCGTGACTAGTTTGGGCATCCAGCATCGTATCGACGTCGAGCTCCTTGAACGCGGAGACTTTTGCACGACGTCTTCGACTTGCTGCATGTTTCGAAGATTGCTCGCTAGGAAACGATCGTGTGTAGGTATGGATCGGTCTTGCGCGTACTGAGGGCGCTTTTACCCCCAGGTATTCTGCTTCGCTTGGGAGAGGTCGGTATGAGGTGGTATCACTGTCCATGGTCTAGGAGTACAACGTTGTGCGGTCTTCGATGGAGGCAGTAAGTAGCTGTCATTATCATAGGTTGTAGAAATAGAGGTTGGGCCTCCGTGGCTATCCTGATGCAATTTCGAGTTGCCCAGTCCCTAGACATGCCATGACCGGGGAAGAACCAAGGCAAACAGCGCTATAGCGAACGTAGTTTAGCGTACTGCTGCTATTGAAGGAAACCCTGCACGCGATTTCCCAATCAACGTTTATGAACCGGTGAATAGTCCGGCAGATCTTTATCTCTGCCAATTGCAGTTGAGTAGCATGATATAAAAGGGAAAGTCAATGATGGGAAACTTCCTGCTTACAGAAAAGATCAGCATTCCAGCGCCACCAGCCAGTTTTCACTCCCACTAAAGGCTTCTGCGCGATCGTAAATCGGAATTTCTTTGATTGCTGTCAAACGCCGACGTGTCTAAAATCTAGGAACCATCTTGGGTCCTAAATCTGCGCCTTCTAGAACAGAAATCTAGGCTTTCGTATCAACTGGGGCAATTGGCTGGTAGAAGCACGATGAGAAGCGTGTACCGAATCAAATAATGCACATCAAAGTTATTATTAGGCGTTTGACCGGAGCATTAGATTCAATTTTGAACCTTCGATGCTACGAGAGATATTCAAGGGTTGTTGGACATTTGCTCCTGCTTGCCTCCTTCTACTTCACCAATCTGCCATTTGGTTTGTAAAGGATAGGCCCAATACAGTCTCATCCTCCCTCAGTCCTGAAAGCTTCACGCTCTCAACCCAAAGCTGCTTCTGCTTGGCCTCATCCCTCGCTTTCTGGCTAGGTTTCATTTTTGCAGTCCCATTCAGATAAGCAGCTTTCGGATGCTTGCCCAGGGTTCCTTCTTCGAAATTGGAATTTAGAAGGTCTTTCGCCGATTTCTTTGGAGTTGCGGAAGTTCCCGTTTGGTGAGAGTATTGTGGTTACTACAGCAAGGGGAGCCAGCATCCAATAAAGAACAAATCGTAAAGCGGCAGGCGACTCCTTGAACAAGCCACTACCTCCCAATGCTCCCGAATCGACGGCAAGGACTGAAATGTCGGAGTACTTTGTGCCCGCGAGACGACGCTGAAGTTCGTACCTAGGACAAAGTCAGCGACGGCTAGACTGCTCTAACAGGTGCCATACATGAACAAAACCATCAGAGTCTTGCTCATACCGTAGCGCCTCATGCCAGCTTTGTACTCATCACCCTTAGCATCCTTGAGGCTTCGCTAAAACTTGTGGGCCGCCCTCTGGAATGACTGTCTTGTGCTGTTCATTTGTGATGTGGCCACTGTTCATATAATGGGAAGGATGATGAGTCCAGCTGGAGACAATGACAATGCGGCCCATTGGGTCCATGCTCTGGAGTAGCAGGTTGGTAAACAAGAAGTGTGAAAGGTAGTTGACAGCGAAGATAGCCTCCAGACCGTCATCGGTGCTTTCATGCCTCGGAGTCAGCAATGCCTATTTCAGGGGTATCCCGAAATTTACAACATGTTATCTAGAGAGTAAGCCCTCCCAAGACATTTTCTCGAGGCTCGGGATTGAATCCGAAAAGGGGATATGAACTCCCAAAATACGTACGCTGTAAAGCCGCATTAAGGACTACAGCAAGAATGCGAGGAATCGAGCCAGACGCTACTCGCTGATTTAGATCGTTGGTGGCAGTGTGGACGCTGGCAAGAGAGCTAAGATCTACGGCAATTATCTCATGATCGTTTGCGTTTGATGAACCGGCGAGAACATTCTTGAGGGTGTCCACTGAGGCAGGATTGCGGACCGCGAAGAGGCCTTTCTTGATTACGATTTCCCTGTCAGTATTGCTTATTTGAGAGGGTGTTCTGAGCCTTGAACCGTGTGTCGAGAGTAGACTCTCCCAATTTCATACATGTCTCAAGACTGCAGATTTTGCTTATAATATGAAACAGGGACTCCGAAAATACGTACGTAGTCTTTGGCATAAGGGGATCTGAGAAATTGAGAGACGAGATTGGAACCAAGTCCCCCATTGGCGCCAGTAATGACGAATGTGCCTTTCATGTTGTGCAATGCTCAGATGGGTAGGCTTGGGACTAAACAAAGGAATGGTACAGGAGGGCAGTTATAGACAACCGGAGGTCGACCATGCAAGAAATACCACAGTTGTAAGAGGACGAGAAGTAAAGAGTCTACCAAATGAGAAGACCAGCTGCGGAACGTTCCTCAAACATGGGTAGAGTAAGGCCTACGAAGACGGTCCCTGCAGGTCACATTCACATGCACTCATAATTTTGTCGACCTAGGTACCAGACGCGTTCAATTAGAGTAGGTAGTGCTTACCGTCCGCCAAGCTATAAGATATGTCAAGTACCTCAATCTCGCCCCCTAATCAGAATATGGGTTTCAAGGACGGCAGGGTACCTAGGTAATTCTGAAGTAAGATGAATCTTCATTAATGAATCTCTATTAAGTAATCTCTATAGATGAATCTTCATTAATGAATCTCTATCAATATACTTTAGTCTTTAATGATTTACCTAGGTACGTCGACCTCATGCTTTTCCGATCTACCTTACCCACCTTCCCTAGCAACTAGCAACGGGCTGGTGCCAGAGAACGCCAAGCATGACATTTATGAATTGCAAATTAAATAAGAATGCTTGGCAAAGCTGATTCAGCTCCGCCTCCGACTTTTTGTTAGCGTCATTCATACAAAATTGTAGAGAACGTACTTACCACTCTTATACCAGCCCACTTCATATTTTTAAAGCTTCTATATAGCTTAAATACGAATACGGTGGTGTTGCAATGCCCCGGAATACCGTCAATTCTCGTCAGACGGTCAGGCCTTGTGGAGGGAGACTTACTAGCATGCTTATGCTCTGGAACGATTAGGTCAGGGAGAAGGTCATAGAGAAGGTGGAGGATTTTGATTGATATTACGTAGTATTTCATTGTAACTACTCTGTTATCTCCATAGTCAAATACTCCAAATCTCGTTCAAATGCCTCAATTTCGCCGTCAAATATGTAGCCTGCAGTGCTCTGCTTGAAATGCTCCACCGCAAATCTATCACAGCCACTAACATCGATTATATGCTTCAGAAATCCTTCAAAATCGTTCTAAAAGACGTGTCGAAAGGTCTCAAAATGACGCCGCGAATGTCCAACTGAGGTAGCAGACGACAGTGGCTATTGCAAGAGTGGCAAGTACGTTCTCTACAATTTTCTATGAATGACGCTAACAAAAAGTCGGAGGCGGAGCTGAATCAGCTTTGCCAAGCATTCTTATTTAATTTGCAATTCATAAATAAACAACGGCCGAGATCACCTAATCTACTCCTCCCCAAAGCGCACGTTCGGTTGCCTGTCTTTTTATTAGCGATGCGACCGCCAAGACTTTTGTCTGCTGCAGACATGTCTGCGGACGGTCATTACGGTCACGAATAGGAGGCCTGACAGCTAACCCGATTAGGTAGTAGCTTACACTAGTGTACTACCTTTCGTCTGATGTTTTGAGGCTACTTTTCGTTTTTCGAGATTCCAGGGGTTTTGAAATGAAAATTTCGGCTATCAAATAACGGTATTCATGAAGATGGCCGTACCCGGAGCAAGGGTATATGTGAGAATGTTGATATTTGGCTTGTTTCTCTACAGGATCTCTGCCCGCAGACCGCCAAGACCTCACTTTGAAGCATTTTCGCCAATCAATGGCTTATCACGCTCGGAGAAACTTCTATCCGGAGATTACAGAGATTACATGCTAACGGCCAAAATGTGGTAATTCTGTCTTACTTCACGAATACATTCTGACGGTCATGCGCATCGCTACCTTTTATGCACCCTGCTTCGGGTGTCGCATCGGCCGTGGGAACAAAGCGAGTCCCAGCGGGGGTACCGGCGATAATACCTACTTACCTTACATGACCAACTCGTCGCCAACGGCTATTCGGCCGAGGGAAGGATAATGGCAAAAAGATTGATAATCAACCACGCAAAAGCTTCATAAGTGACTTCTAAAACCGAGGACACCCGGGAGTTACTTTAAAAACACACACACACACATAAGGCTTACCATCCACGGCTTACTCCATCCTGGCGCGTCCCCACGTACGCAAAATGACAAACTTCAACATCGCCATCACCTCGGACAACGTCTGCCCGTGGTGCTACGTCGGCAAGAAGAAGCTGGAACGCGGCATCTCCCTCTACAAGGCCGCGCATCCTGCCTCCGACGACAAATTCACGACGACATGGCTTCCGTTCTACCTGAATCCCGCCGCGCCCAAGATCGGCGTCGACAAGCGTTCGTACTACAAGTCGAGATTCGGCGATGAGAAGGCGGCGATGATCATCGAGCGCTTGGCCGCCGTGGGCAAAGGTGCTGGGATCAATTTCAGCTTTGGAGGCAAGACTGGCAACACGAGGGACAGGTACGTCTATTTCCGAGCCGATCGCCCCTTTGTGGTATCGAGGTAGAGTCGCAAGACATGTTTCGGGAGCGAGAAGACCCTTCTACTCCGGAGACCTGTCTTGCAACTCCATCACCTACCTTGAACAGGCAATGCTGACTCCGAAACCCGCGTAAGTCACCGTCTGGTCGAGCTGGGGAAGACGAAGGGCGCAGAAATGCAGACGAGGGTTGTGGAGGAGTTGTTCAAGAGCTATTTCGAGGGAGAAGGAGATATCACAAGCCATGACATGCTGAAAGAGGCAGGTGTGAGGGCTGGCTTGAAAGAGGCGGAAGTGAAGAGTTGGTTAGAGAGCGATAAAGGAGGAGAGGAGGTGGACAAGGAGGTAACAGAAGCGCAGACTCGCGGTGTGAGTGGGGTGCCGAACTTCGTGTTGCAGGGAAAGTACGAAATTGGTGGGGCACAGGATGCAGAGGCATTCGTGAAGGTGTTCGAGAGGGTGAAGGAGATGGAGGAGTCATAGTCTTGGAAATGAGGAGCTTTCTTTTGTCCATTGCTTCCCGGACACCCTCTCGTTGCGTTTAGCGAATCATCTCTTTACACACAAATCGCTTCTGATGACCCATTTCTCGCCCTTTCTGACCGTCTTTCCTTCGTGCAAGAGACAGTCCTGGCCGTGTTTGTGCAAAAGAGCCATGCCAACTTCTAGGTCAACAACGATAGGGTCTGTGTCAATGCCTTTCCCTGAAAACTTCTTTGCCGGGCCAAGTTCAGGATAAAAGACCGTTTCCCCTCCAACACAGCCCGTTGTGGGTCCAGTAAGGTAGATAAGTAACGTCCAGGTTGTTCTTGCTGGGGTTGGCGGAGTAGACGAAAGAGTGATATTGTTTGACTCATCATCTGTGATTGGTCAGCGGACTCTACCACATGTTGCAAGCAAGTTGTTGTCGCTGAGCATAATAACGCTACATACAAACAGCCGTCTTCCTCGTTTTCATATTTGAAAAAAACATGCACCAAGATCAAAACCGGTCTGCTGCAAGCTACAGGACAAAGGCCACGACTGTCATGAGCCAAGGGGAAAGGTGGACCGGCCAAGATTGAAGTGGACGCTCCAAGTTGGGCGCACACGACCGAGGATCAAACACTATGTCCACTCGGTGGCTGTTTCAGATGAAGCTGTCGACTTGTCGCAGTCTATGTCACGGAGGTGTCTCTGTGGAAAATATATAAGTTACTAATTATCTGAGCCTATGCGTGAAAAGCTTACCTGGAGAACATCTTTCCTCGAGAAGCTCTTCTCACAGACCGGGCAAGTGAAGAGATCCACCTTAAGATGCGTTCTCTGATGCCTTTTCAGGTCATGATTCCGCTTGAAACTCTGGGCACACTGATCGCACTTGAAGGGTCTCTCAGGTCTCTCAAGATGTGTTCTCTGATGCCTTCTCAGATCATGATTTCGCTTGTAACTTCGGAAACACTGATCGCACTCGAATGGTCTCTTAAGGTGTGTTCTCTGATGCCTTTCCAGGTCACGATTGTGCTTGAAACTTTGGGGACACTGATCGCATTTGAAGGGTTTCTCACTAAGCTGTGCTGGTTGCGGATTCCCATACATCTGTTGCTCCAGATGTGGTGCGCGGCCGCGATAGTAGCCAGCCTTTATTGCTTCCTGAAGATATTTTTCTGATATGTACGAAAGATCATGTTCTTGTTTGCTGACCGAATCCGTTGGATTGTTTGAGTTATTCTCGATCGGTCCGCTCATGGGCCCTGTGAGAGTATGTGGAGCATGTGTGGAGCCGCCATTGAATGGATTCGACGGTGACGTGGGAGGGGAGGAGGTTGCTGATTGAGCGTTGATAGGCGATGTCCGAGACGCTTGTGGTGGTGGTGATGGGCTCATTGGGCTCTGCCGGACCGGCGATGATCAAGGGTAAGGCAAAGGACAGAAGAAGGTCACCCAGTTCCGAGGATCACTGGGCTGAACGTGACCGCCGAAGATGCAAAACCGACGGCTTGATTGAGATTTTGGAAGAAATGAACGCCTCACGCGAATCAAATGCAGGATATCAATGCGGTGGTGTTTGAACTAGGATATTTATGGTACATACAGTGCTGACCAAAAAATTGTCCCTGGCCTGGCGAAAGTCAACGATGCTAGGGGAAAGAGCGACGGACGAGAAACCTACCGTAGCGATAGATTCGGATACGTGGATTGAGACCACAGACTTCACCTCCCCAAATCTTCTTCGCTCCTTCATATGTAAGACCATTAGGTTCGACATTCTCTGCCGAGCCACTGATAAGGGATCTAAGTCCTGTAGAACCCCAAAGCTGTTCGGCAAAGGCAGGGTCATTGAATTGAATGCGGTCATTGAGCCTGATTGCTTCCCCTTCTTTGGGTTTCGCAGGGGTAGTGATCAACTGGAGTGAAGACAAGAAAGAGACATATTTCTTGCACAGCGTAGAGGTAAAGAGATTGCGGATGAGAATGATCTGGTCCTCTAAAAGTGTTTCTAAAGCAAGATCTGTTGTAGGAATTAATGGTTGTAGTGGAGGCCAACCAGGCGCGGTCTCCTGTTCTTCAGGTGGCCTTCGCGTTGATTTAGTTGTGGCCTTTCCACGATACCGCTGAGACATCACTATGGGCAAGATAGAAGTGAAGCCAATGCGAAGATTCTACGCGTCTCGCAACTCACAGGGTTTTCACGAGTCATGACAGGAAGTAGCACTAGCGCCAATAGCTAGTGCGAACTCTTGGCTTTTTTGACGCACGATTTCCTGAAGAGGAACAGTAGTGAAAGAGAAGGAAGTAACAGCTGACACAACCTTCTGCCAGATTTCACGAACAACAAGAGCAAACAAATCGTTCTAGGCATAGAATCATTTTTGAGACACCTTACAGCACCCAGGAAGATGCGAAGACGGCCTTAGCCATGGAGGAGGAACGCTCAGAGGGCGGCGCGCAGACTCAGCCAGTAATCCCACATCAAACCCTTGGGTCAGAATCACAAGACGCCATGTCAAACATTGGGGCCCAGGCAGTATCGATCCTCCAGCAAGTCGCACAGGAAGCCTCAAAAGCTGCGGAACAGCCCAACGGCTTCAATATCTATGAGGAGGAGAATGAATCACAGAATCCCTCAGCAAATTCTGTAAGGAACATAGCAGAACAGGGCCTACAGCGCCTTCCGGACGACTATTCAACGATCTCCGCTTCTTTGGAAACGCCTACAACCTCTCTCGCAGCTATTGCAGGTGACACAGCTACTGAGGGCGATGTTGGTTACAGCATAGTCCCATTCCCAGATCTCGAAGAAGGACAGCAGGCTCTTGACGACAACCCACTGTCCTGGGTGGGTGTTACAATCGGTGGTGGATCTTTTGGGGGTTCTCAGCAAAATGAGGCTTCATCTGGTGTAGAAACAGAACAGCACCAGATACAGGCTTTTGCGAAGCTCGAATTTGACGATGGGGAGTTCTACATGAACACATATGCGGTAGAGATTGGGAGAGATGTACATGCGGCTCGCCAGGCAGCTGATCTCCAGGCTCGTCAGGACACGGAAACAAAGTCTAGGAAACGAAGTGCAAGCGCGGGTGGTTCCATCACGTCAAGCAAGGTCAGCCATAGAAATGGCCAGAACATAGCAAGTAGCGCCCCCAGTGAGAGTGGGGGTGTCATAGCTGTCGATCATTACGAGAGTGAGCCTACCAGGAAGCCAAGGTCAAGAAAGCCCAAATCCTCGAGCTCGTCATCGCAGCAGCTGTCTCGAAAGTCCTCGATGCTACTTTCCAACGGTAAGACGGACTACACTGCTCTTGCCATGGCTTCGCTCATGGACCATGACTCGGGAGCCAATGGCTTTGGCCCCAATAGCCCATTGCCGGCTCCGGAATTGGTGCCCCTGGTACCAGTACACCCGCCAGCTTTACCAGAGGGAGCCCCTAGCGGCGGTAAAAGTATATCAAGGAAACACATAAGGATAGCCTACAACTTTGAAGAGAATGTTTTCGAGGTCAAAATCTTGGGCCGGAATGGAGGTTTTGTTGATGACGAGTGGTACGCTCAAGGGGATGTCCAGACTCTTATGAATGGAAGCATCATCCAGATTGGCGGAGTGGGAATACGCTTCGTGCTGCCTGATGTCGCCCCTGGTGAAACTGGTGCTGAAATAGGTCTGAGATCGGATCCGTTGTCTGGTGGAGAAATGAGCTTCGATATGGCAGAGAGCATTGAGGATGAGAGTGATGTTGATCTTGACGAGGACGAAGAGCGCGGCCGTACGAGGAACATCAAAAATGAGGAAGAAGAGGAGGAGGAGGAGGAGGAGGAAGAGGAAGATGAAGAGGAGCCAGAGGTGGTAAGAATAAGAGCCAAGGGTAAAAAGAAGTCTGAACCCGAACCAATGCCTGTGACGAAGCGCAAAGGTCCAGGCCGGCCGCCGAAGAACGGCATCATTTCAAAAAGAGAGCAGGCATTGTTGGCAAGACAGGCTCGGGAGGATGCCAAAGTTGCGGCAGATCGGGGTTCTGGAGCTCTACCTAATCGCGGTAAAGTAAAGGCTGGCAAAGATACTAAGGCCGTCAAGAAAGAAGAACCCTTACTGCAAGCAAACGGGAAGAGGAAATATACCAAACGAAAAAGAGCTGGAGGCACCGATGACCAACGAGGGGTTCGTGAAAGCACTGAGCAAACAGACTCGGTCCCACCAGAGCAATCCATCGCTGCAGTTTTACCCCCAAAACCTGCGAAGGAGAAGAAACCGCCTAAACCTCCAAGGTCCCCGTCTCCTATCTTTGATGAGGCCACATTGACTCCAGAACAGCTCACCAAGCCAACACAGAACTACATTGTTCTGATTCATGAAGCCCTCTCGAACTCTGAGACCGGCGCCATGGCGCTGCCCCAGATCTATCGAGCCATGCAAAGAAGATACCCGTATTTCAAACTTCGTGCAACGACACTAGGATGGCAAAGTAGTGTTCGCCACAATCTCTCCCAGAACGCTGCTTTCCGTAAAATTGAGCGGGATGGCAAAGGTTGGATGTGGGGCTTGGTCCCCGGTGTTTCCATTGAGAGGGAGAAGAAAAGGAGGGCGACGCCGCCTCCAGTGTCACAGCAGCCTTACTACCCTCCAGGTCCGCCACCGATGCAGTATCCCTATTCGTATCCAGGCATGCCACCTCCGAATGGGCGAATGCCGCCAAATCCTTACGGTATGCCTCCTGGCATTCCACCCGCCCATATGCCTCATGGACTACCCCCTCAAGGGCCGCATGGCTTTCCATTACCTCTGGTCAATGCGCAGAGCGAGTCGACTTACCAATCACCATATGGAACTGATCCGTCATCTCAACTATCATCAGCGCCCGCTCTTCAAACGCAACAAGACTCTAATAGTAATGGCGCCAACGGTCACTACCCTAACCCCACATCGCAGCCTCGGGTGCAGGCACCTGACAAGGACCATGAGACATTTGGACCGGCGCCAAGTCCTTCGTACGCTCCCAACCAGCCGAAAACCGGAGCCTTGACTGGCTCATTGGGCGAGTCAAATAGCAATGCACATGGCCAAGACGTTTTTCAAGCCGTCGCCAGATACAAGAGCGACTTCATCGACGGGATGCCAGACAAGGCCAAAGCAGAATTTCTCGTCACGTCAGCCATTAACCGCACCCTCGGTATCTCAAACCCAAAGGATACTACTGCAGACGAAGCAGAAGATCCGCAGGTGAAGGCAATCATGAGCGAGATTGCGACAGTCTTGAGTGATCTCAGCAAGAAACGTATGGAGACTCAACGTCGAGCTTCCGATGCCATTCCGCCACCTTCGAAACCGAGCCCTGCGCCTACTGACGATCATGCTGCTTCGTCACTTCCAGCAGCTGCTTCAAAGGCTGCGGAGAGTGCGGTGAAGAGTTCTTTCGCGAATGGCGATGCTTATAGGCGGAATAGTACTGTCGGAAAAGAAGCTGCTGAAGACAAGGGCAGCGGTAAACGGCCATTAGAAAATGGAGACCGCGATGAAGTCACTGACAATGGTCAGCCAGAGGCAAAGAGGGTGGCTATCGAAGCGTAGACCTTTGACTTCGGATAAAAGTACCTCTCTTTGGCTTGCTCGGGGCTCTCTGCATGGGTTTAATGAGGACATCTTAGCGGTGGCATTTTACATGCATATGCATGGCACGGCGGCACGTTTTGTTATTGGCGGATACCCTGGACGTGAAAAATATGTAATTCACATAGATATAGCATAGTCTAACCAACTAGCTAACTGGAAAAAAATAATCCGAATCATACCATTGCCTTGTCCTATATTCCGAGGACTTGCCCAAACGCCTCTTGCACTCCCAACTCCAATCCTAGCACGCCGCAATGCAATCAACATATCGTAAATCAAGCAAGTCCGGCCTCTTTATCTCAATAGCCTCATACGGCGTCTAGGACCCATTCGGGTTCTGGACTTGCCCGGCGCTCTCTGCTCAGACTCACGGCCCATGCAACGGTCCATGAGAGCAGGGAAGGCTTGATTCCAGGACGAGAGTCAAAAGCATTATTGTAAGGGTATGCAATTACAACGATCGGACGGAAGTTGATCCCATTCCGTTCCCCCTTGGCTACCCTGGGTTTCTCACATGGCCATCTCAGCCTGCAGCTTCCGCAACTCCTCCTCCTCGTCCTCTTCTTCCACCGGCGCTTTCGATTTGCCTTTGACTAAATAACAAATCACCTCGTCAGCAAATGTTTTTTTCGTCTTCTTTCTCCTTTGACCATCCATTGATAAATGGTAATACTTACGTTCTCCATTCGCCGCTTTGGGCAACCGGTTCAGACTGTCCGCCACGGGTACCGTGCCCGTTCCCAGCATCTTTTCGTCGAGATTTTCCTGCTCTAGCGCCGCCAGATCGGCCTCCAGTTCATCCTCGTCGATAGGCTCCGTGATGGGCATCGAGGTGATGGCGTTGCCGATTTCTTGGGTGAGTTCGTGTTGTTCGCGCAGTTGCTCCCTACGGCCACGGTATCAGTATTGGCCCTCCCCTAAAAGGGTTGAAAAACCAAGTGAGACCCACATCGTCGTATCCACATCCTCCATGGTCATCTTGCCATGGATTTGTTTCATCGCGGCGCCGGCATTCTTCATGGCGACGAGGGTTTCTTGGTTGATGTTTGCGGATTCGATGGAGTAGATTTGCTGCTCGAGCATGGAGATTTGGCCGTTGGTTTGTTCGAGGGAGTGCTCGTGTTGCTTCTTGCGTTTGAGGGCGTTGCGGGCAGCTAGGCACGGAAATATTAGCACGCGTCAACTACCATCCCCTTCTACCTCTTGATTGTGGTATATCAATCTACAATGCCCAGCAGATCGGCCACTCTGCGACAAATGGCTGCGTACCAGTCTTGTTCGTAGTGACATTCTCCCTCGCTATCTCGTCCTGCTTCGACATCTGATTCTCTAGATGTCTCTCTCTCTTCTGCAGCATATCGAGCTGCTGCCGCAGATCAAGTATAGCTTTCTTGGGTGCATCTTTCCTCTTCTGCCCGCCATTACCACCGAACCAGGCTCCCCACATGTTGATCGCTCTTGTCGTTTGCTCGACTTCAGACCCAAGAGATCATCGGCCCTTCGCTATCGATGTCTGGTGCGTCAAGGTCCTGGTGAAGGGCAGGTTGTCGTAGAGAAGGTGCTTAGGTTCGATGATCAGGCTTATCCGATGACCTGTAGATTGGGGGCAAGAGGGCCACAGTCGCTTCAGGGTATGAATGAGCCGGATCCAATAGGGGGGGGTTTAGAGACGCGTGTATAGTGATCTAGATTTAGAGAGCTATTCTTTGCTGCCTTGTGCGAGTGAGTGGAATGGGAAAGTCAGGCTTCTCAAAGCATTTGTCTATGACATCGGCGCTAACCCATCTCCAGCACATCACGTGACAGTGTCTCGAAGCGCGAGCCGGGACCACCGACCTCAACACCTTCGCATACGCGTCGCATAGCACGCGCCATGGCTTGAAGCTCAACAGTATGGGCTCTGTAACGCCCACATCCATTATCGTTCTTTCGAACTCTCAATGAAACCATGAACAACGGGCCCCTCCCAACCCGCATCGTCTTCCTCTCGGACCTACCCACTCAAGCTCACGGCACCAAAGTCCGTTTCCTGGGCTGCGTAACGCGATACACCTTCTCCACTGGTGTACTAGAAGTACAGCATGCCTATCATCTTCCTCCAAACCAACCCACTGTTGCTTTGGTGGACGTCAATGTGATTTTGGAAGGCTTGGAGAGAGAAGACACGCAAGTGGGGGCTTGGGTCAATGTTCTGGGCTACGTGGAGGAGGTGCTGGAGGAGGGGAAGAGAAAACGAGGGCAAGGGAAGGGGAAGACGGGGTTAGCAAAGAGGAAGGGGGACAGGATACGGGAAGGGCCAAGAGCGGGGAGAGCGAGGGTGCGGGCGGTTATGCTATGGAGCGCAGGGGGAGTGAAGATTGGGGAGTATGAGAGGACTCTGGAGGAGAGGCTGAAACTGGACAAGGGATCTCGAGAGGGTGGTGCTTAAGGAGCCGATCGATACCTGGATCAGAAACCCCGAGGTGGCTTTCCATGAGGCCATCGTTTAGTGAACTGGTAGGGTCAGAAGCGAATGCCTCCAGAGATCCCCTTTGATGGCGGCTTCCCCTTTGAGGCGTATCAGCGGCACCATGCTTCTAAACAGGAGAGCATTGATTATACCGCGAAGACAAATATACGCCTTAAAAGATAAATATAAAACCCAGAGAATTGACAAAGGTCGAAAATCTTCAAACAGTTGAATACCACAGGCTGTTCGTGATGCATTATGAATAATTCTCCACGTCCTTGAAGGCTGGGTTTGGAGTACATGTACAACTAGAAGACCATTCCTTTTCTTCGTAAGTCTCAAACGCCGTGGAATACCTTTTTGTTGTTCCTTCAATAAAGAATCTCTGAGATTCATGCAATCGCTTCGCGAAGCAACTGTCATGTGACATTCTTCTATACAGACGCCATCATGCCAGAGAATGGTAGTCATAAATCTTGATATTCACCTGACACCAGTCCCTCATGTACAACTGACAGTGGTGTCATTGGCACAGAAAAGCCCTGTAGTAGGCTCTATACGTCTCAAGAATCACTCTCTTAACTGCGATGAAACCCATCAATCACCGTTTCCTCTGGCTCAGAATACGATGCTGAAAAGCTACCTTCTCTGTCCAGCCATTACCTGCTGGCCATTTGGCATGCCCATGCCGTATGGATGTGCGTGAGCATTAAAATCTTGCTGTTGTTGGAAGTAGCCACCGAGGCCCTGGCTTTGGGATACCGGACAATCTTTGTGTTGCAGAAGTAGAGTTTTGAGTCCCACAATCTCCTCACGCAGGGAAGACACCTGCGCGGAAAGCGAGTCATTCTCACTGCTGAAGATTTCGACCTTGGCTTGCAAATTGGCAAGCCATTGCTTCTTGCGCTGTCTGCACTTCAATGCTGCCACCCTATGATAACGTTAGATGGTTGGAATGGCAGAGAAATACAACATTACGGACCTATTTCTCTCGAGAAAATTCTTCCGCTTCTCTTCATCGGTCATTTTCTTTCCGTCTGGGTGGTATTGTTCTTCTTTGATGTTCGGTTGCTCTTCTTCCGAATCCATGCCATCTATATCCATCATTGAAGTGTTATGGTTCTTCTTTTGTTTCTTGGCAGACGGCTGCTTTGGTGGAGTATCATCTGCTTTTCGTCTCCCATTGTTTGGTGCAGCATTTGCACCAGCGGAGGCGCGTTTACCCCTATTTCTCGTAGTAGGTTTGCTTTGGTCGCCACTGTCAGAGATATCCCCACTCATCTCACTCTGGCCTCCTATTGAACCATTGCCATTACGCGCTCCTTTGGACATGTTTGGCGACGTTTCATGGGATCGGTTGCTTGTCATAGTGTTGTTCGTGTTGGGAATCGCATATTGATGGTTAGCTTGCGCTCCATTGCCAGCTTGAGCAAGCAGGAATAAGCCATTTGCGGCATCGTTGTCGTGCTGGCCAAAGGTCGGCTGTTGGGGCTGTTGTTGCAGTGACGGATCCATAGGTGCGACAGGTGCCCGCTGGTCTTCTGCTTGTGTGTTTGAACCGTTTGTGTGATTGCCTTTTCGCGCCGCCGCAGCATTCATGGCCGTTCGGTGGAAATCTAGTGTGTTTGGAGTAGCACCACCATTGGCGAGCTGTTGAAATAGGGCCTGTGAATTCGGACTGGGCGCTGGGAACATAGACCCTCCACCACCAGGTGTAAGGCCTGTGCGAAGTGACGATTCGTTGGGTGTCACGCCCGAAGGGAAACTTCCTCTTAGCGATGGGTCGAAGTAATCATTTGGCGCAGCGCCGACAGGTCCACCAAGCATAGCAGGACTCAGTGGCCCGGATCGTAACGAGCCTGGCCAATTATATCCACCTGCAGACGGACCGTCTCCACCCAGCGGCGCTGGTGACGTTAAAGCTGCGACAGGTGGCAACAATGACTTATTCGCGGGGAGCTCTGACGATGGGTTGCCAAAGGATTGTTCGAAGGGGTTGGGTTCACGAGAGAAATGACTGTTGGTGTGGCCTCCTGAAAAATAATCGACGCCTTCCTCTGCGTTCTGATGTGTTGGCCCGGGTCGTGGTGGGGGAGCAAGCGGCTGTGCCGTCTCAGCATTGGATATGGGCTTGATGTCTTTGCTATCGGCCTGATCAGGAGGCTCTTTGACCGTTGGAGGAGGATCTGATGAAAGGTGAGCAATGATGGCGACGATTAGGGTTGCCAATGTCGGCGCATTGATGGAGTTTAGACGTACCCGATCGCGGCGGCGTAATCTTGACAGACGAGTGTGGATTTGAATCGAGTTGGGATGTATCTATGCATAACATGTGTTAGTCATGTGATATCCATGATTCCCTGGGACTCGATAAGTCGATCAATATGACGAGGTAAGTATTGGCCGAGGAAGCGCGTAGTACCAAAAAGAAGCCCGGAGACAGGACAGCTCAGGGACAGTGGTGAGAAAGGATCAAAGTAGCAAAGTGGCGGCGATATTGCGACGAACCTTCAATTTTGATGACGCCCTTCTTGCTATCCATGGGCGAATGAGTGTTTGTGACGGAACGTGGCATGTGGTTCTTGGAGTTCCTTTGGGCGACGGTAACTGACATATTCTGGCGATGATGACGAAATCGGGAGAAATTGGGGGGCAAGACCCTTGTTCTTGTTACTCGAGCCGAGGGAATAGGGATTGTGCAATTAGGGAGAGCGGATCTGCAGAAGAGACTTGGGGCCCTGGGGGGGACAATGGGTAGGGGTATATTTTGGGTAGGGCGTTTATGCGTTTATGGCTTGAGTGTGTGCTTTGAATTCTTGCAAGATGACGTTGTTGCTGTCTTTGCACAAAAATAACCATGACGAAGATTTCAGAGGATGGGGGCGCCCAGATACGAGACGGCCTTCACCCAGTTGACTATATTTTCCACCCTATCCTCCATCGGGCTAGTAGCCATACACGTGATCATTGGCAGAAGCCCGAGGGGCCCCTCGGGCGTAGCCAATCACTCCTTCATCTCACCAATCCAACTTTTCCCGCTTGGACGTCCCAGGCGATCAAATGGCCGAACGGATCTGGGTCTTTCTCGGTGGGAGAACAATTTGCTTAGGCTGCTTTTGCACATCCGATGCCACTCGTTTCCGCTTGACACCCAGGATTTGACAGAATTAAATGATGCCAATGGTGCTAACATTGACGACTGCGTGACGACTGCTTTTCTTTCTTTCTGACAGCGTGCCTAGTTTTTCGTCAACCTCTTGCTTTGCAGCCAGGGAAGACGATATGAACGAGGAAAGTTATATCTTACAGCTTGTCCATCTCTAGGAGGCGCCAAGTTGTCCTCAAGCAACATGAAGGCGTCAACTCGAGTCGGTCAACTCGAGTCAGAAATTCACTTTCACATTCCAATGGTATCAATTATCATGACAAGTACAACCTCAACGGTATCAGCCATCACAACAATCTATGTGTACTGACTCAGAGAACGACCAAATACCCAAACTCTCCTCACCTTCTCCCCAACCGCTCTCGCTCTATACATCAACCCAGTGTCTCCTCACCCTTGCCTTAATTGCTCTCTTTATCGAAATTAGCTCAGTGTTGATGAGTCAATCCTATCGAGGCCTGATGTCAAGGCTCTTCTCCCTGAGTATCTCTGCCATAGGCATGCCCGGATTTTCCTGCAGCAATTTCAATCGCATTTGACGAAAGGCTTCCAGGCACTGGGTCAGCTCGGTCTCCACAACACTGATGCCTGATGGACGGAAAGGGCGTGTCACCTTTCTCATTAGCGTGAAAAAGTTATTTTGCAGTATCATCTGAGTTTCGCGGCCGTCCTCTCCTTGGAACGTCCCGGCATCAATCATGGTTTGTACCAGTTCCATCAATTCAAGAATCATTTCGAGCACCCAGTCTATCTCTTCTGGATCCTCCTTGCTGAAAATGGTAGAGTCGAATTTACCGTTTCTGCTTGCCTTGAGAGCTTGTTGGATGATATCTCTCAGCACACTTTCTTGTATGCGAAGCTGCATCGTCTTCAACGGACATTCTCTAGGGATTCTAAAAACCTTGTTGCAGTTGAACCTTCGGGTATCTGCCTCCAAGTTGAGACCCCTGATGTCGTCATCATCACAGAGAGAATCCTCGTCCTCACTGTCTTCGAAGTCAGCGGCGCAGAGTGTCCTGTGGGCCCTTACTACTGTTGGAGTAACATCTTCGCAGTCGTAATTTCCACGGAGCGTATCTTCGCTGTTCATGTCGTCGAAATCAGTAGCGCGAAGGCCCCCGTTTCTGGGGCGGTCGTCATCGTAACTCACTCGAGACTGGCGTTGGATGTACCACTCCTCTCCGTGCTTAACATAGCTAGATATTTTGCTGTCTTCGGCTTTTGTGGCTTCCGAATACGCCTCAGTGTCTGTGCTCTCGACCCGTCCGTATGCTGCACGTAAGTTCGAGTATGCATTTGACCGAGGTCTAGTCGATCGAAGGGTCCGTACAACAGCACTTTGCGGCCTTGGGGGAGAGGCAGTGGGGACGACCAGCTGTACGGTGTGAGCAGGCCCCTTACGGTATGCAATATCTGTTGCCCGATGATGCGCGATAAGGACTTCATTCATATACGGTAGATCAGCGTTGCTCCTAATCATAATGGGGCCGGCGTTGATTTCTAGACGCATGTTGAACACGAAAGATTTGGAATGGGTGGTAAAGGGGTTTGGTCCGATGGGAATTGTGGTTTGTGTTCTGGCTCAAGTCCCATTTATCTAAAAAGTCGTCCTTGTGCTCTTCTTGCTTAGTCGCCTTTCTTCAGTATGTGGATAATGCCATTGTGTCTCGTACAAAGACACCACCGGTATCCTACCAACAAAGACTTCGAACCATGTCTACAAAGAGAAGACGCGAGTATCTAACAAAGGGCATGGACATGGTGCAAGAAAGGTCAGCTTCTCCGTCAAGACCCGGGTTTGGGGTGATTGCCAGATTTGCTGCCGAATTACAGCGGCCATCCACTATTGTAGGTCTTGTTAACCTGATGCAAGATCGCTGGCTGTGAGCCTAGATATTGCAGCGGAAATGATCTGTTCAGTGACAGAGTCCTTACTATTGTGGGGCGCAGTTTCTGCAAATGTCACAATTTGTGATAATCCCGACAGTGTTATGTCGTCCTGCCCCATGAAAAGTGGGCCTGGGGTGCTGCATCTATCTTGATGCGCAGCTGAAAACCAATTCGCCACTGACCCAATTGATTGAGAGCTTTAAGCGCCTTATGGTGCAACCTCACATTAATGGCAGTTGGGAATGGTTGATGTTGTGTGAGAGTTCGCGATGAAGGAACCAAGCTTCACCTAAAGCTATGACTATGTTGTAGGAGACTCTTACTCATGGTAAGAAAGTTCATTGTTCCTGGTCCATAGCTCAGCGTAATGTCTACCCTGGACAAAGACAGCACCGTCATCAAAGGATCTGAAGACAAAGCCATGTATGAAGCAAGTATGGAAGAACGTGGATAACTCCGGCTTGTCATACATGTTTCGTTTCTCTTACTTTCCCTCTCTTTCTCAGCATCTGTTCCCTACCTTTTACCCCCTCAGCACCGAATCGCTGAGCGAGAGCATCAACACACATTTCCCAATAACAATTCTTCAACATGGGCTGCGTCCCTTCTCGTCCGAGCAATGGCCGTTTCGACAACGGCGGATCCTTTTACCACGGTCCCAGATATCCACAAGTGCCTCCTGGGCAAATACCCCAAGACTGCAACAGTTGCACACCCGTGAACAGGAAATTCCAGCAGAAATGCAGCAAAGAATGCACGGCGACACGGCGAAGTAACTTGAGATCCAAGTGGAACCCGAACAACCATCCAAGGAGACACTCCTGGGAGGTCTACGAGGAAGAGACGCCATGGCAATAGAGGTTGATGGGAGGCCAATGGTTTGGCTTGACGTTTGACACTTAGAGCGGTGCTCGAATTTATCAAACCACGCAATTTACCTACTGATGCAGTACTAACAGTAAGCTACAAATTCACAAATGAACGACCCAGCTGTATCTTTCCAAAGAATAACCCTGACCGCAATATTTCGCGTCAGATTATGATTTCTAAAATAATTCAAACGCCTTCGTCTGCAAAATGATCTCTACAAAATCACTCGTTGTGGAGCTAGAACAAACAAAATGCAATAAGTGGGTAAACACGGGTATGTCTAAGTCTGCGATTGAGCCCAAGTCGAGCGTGAAAGTATACTTCCCTTTTCTGTCATTGTGCCAAAGTTCCATTTCATATCGCCACGTCATCAGGGCTCAGCGAGCATACATCTCCGTCCTCTGTCCTAAGCAATGCAGGGCCTCTACCGCCCAACCTAGTGAAACCGACCTTGGGCATACTTCCCATGGAGCAGGGTACTTCCGGTGACATTTGCAAAGACTGCGTCCCAAATGGGCAAAGGCGGCCAGTCCTTGCCTTTGACGGTTGTAGAATAGTCTCCTTTGTTACCCTTTGTGGGGGGTATGAACAGCATCACTTTCCTTCGAGGTTCAACCAGTTCGTTTACCGTGAGACAGAGCAAGATCGTGAAGCATGCTCTCACTCGGCATCCTCTGGTCCAAAGACCCCTAACCTCCTTTGCTGGTCTCGCCTTTCACGGGGCTCTTTTCTTTTCTTCCCCCCTTAGAAATCGATACGGGAGTCTCTTCAAAAGCCACGGACGTCCCCTATATTCCTCACAATTCACAGATCAAGAATCTCGAAAAAGATAAATCATTACAGCTTCACAACACACAACCAATCCACCCTCCACCATACTCCCCACCCTCCCCACCCTCCTCCTCTCCACCAACCCCCTAACCCTCGCCCACCCCACCACCAACCCTCTCCAACCCCGCCAAACAACCCACGCCGAAGCCAACCTAATCCTCACCCCCTTCACCGGCCCCGGCCGCAAAGCCGACCCCGCCCTCGCCCCGGAGACCTCCGATTCCCCAATCGACGTCCGATACGGCCTCGACAACGCCGCGCCCATGCGCTCTTACGCCTTCAACCGCACCCACCTCGCCAACGAACCGCTCGACTCCAGCACCTCCGTCTTCGGCGAGGCGGACGAGGACTTCGACGTTGCGAACTCTGGCGGGCCCGGGTCGGAGTGCACGGTGCGGCTGGGGCGGGCGAACGCGACGGAGAGGCAGGCGGGGTGTCACACGCTGGAAGCTCATCCGTCCGCGGAGTGTTTTCGGCTGTGGGGGCCTGGGGTGGATCCGGAGTTCGCTTCGGTGGTGGCTTCGCAGTCGTAGATGGGGCTGCTGGTGACGAGCCTAGGCGCATGTTTATCTGGTAGGCTGAGAAAAGGGACGTGATAGAGCATAGGTGGGCGAGATGTTGGCGAGGGAGCTGCGCGGTGTTTTTCTGGAAGTCGAAGAAGAAGACTCGGAGAGAAAAGAGAGAGATGCGCGGTGTGGTCTTGCTCGTACTGTTCGTGTGTTTCGTGGCAGCCGCTTCTGTTCCATCCTTGGAGTAGACGAACCTTTGTCAATCGATTTTGGCGTCAGGTTCGTTCATAAGTGAATGCGACATTCTTTGTCCGGGGGACCAATGCTCTCAAAGCGAGATTGGCTTCTCGGATCAAAGACGATGAACGCTTTATTTAGCACTCCGCCTTTTTGGTAGAAAGCTTTCATAGCCCAAGAAACTATCTATATAGTCGCCTCTCCTCCGTTCTCTCTTCCATTAGCACTACCGTCCCCATACTCAACTTTCTCTACCTTGAACCTATCCCCGAATCTGTCCAGAATCATCTTTTTAAACTCCTTAACGCTATCCACCATGACAACGCAAAACCGAGCCGCCCTAATGCTATCGAGCCTCAAAAAGACTATTATCGAAGTCTCTGGAAGCTACAGCAACCGAGGATCTGGCTACTACGATGCGCCTCCCGTCGAGGACAAAACACCTTTGGTTCAAGACCTGGAAGAGATGATTGTCTCACCGTTGACGACGAAGGACGAAAAGGTCGTGCTGATAGATACGTTGATGGTGGTGAGAGTGTTGCAGAGATTGAAGGAGGAGGAATGGTCGGACAGGTTGAAGGAGGTTTTTGAAAAGGGTGACAAGGAACACAGCCGGAGGAGGTGACTGTGTGAGAGTATATTCGGTCTGTCGTTGTCGATAGAAAGTTTTCCAACATCGCTTTGACTCTTTTTTGGTAGCTTGGGAATAAACAACTTGTGTTGAGAGCAGTATGTGACTTCACTGGGGGCGCCGGCTGTTGCCTCTTTGTGTGCCACTCGGAACCACGCGTAAGCCGATTGGCTCTGGTTCAACGGTATGGATTGTATAACACAAATATCAACCACATCAATCAATGACCATAAGGTCTTCCCCTAGGCACACAAGCGGATAAGATTGCGTTCATCATACACAGACCAGCAAGCGCATCAACGCAGGCAACAACCCAGATTCAGAGGCCTGTATACTCCTCCAAAGCTACACTATTACAGCTCACTGAGTGGACGACCAGTAGCCAGCAACATCAAACATGGATGGGAAGGAAAGCCTCACGCAGAAATCTCGCAGAAGTGAAGCTGCTCACGTCGCTATCGCAATGTTGAAAGCAGCAATTATCAAAGCTTGCTACGAGAATCATTGGAGAGACGGAGCTTTCTGGAGTATCAGGCATTCCTCGTCGGACGTGGACAACGATCTGGAGCGACTGGAGGAGTCCATGAAGACCACCGAAGCTGAAAAGGCCATTTTCAAGGACACACGTTCGAAGGTTGCGGATATGCGCGCATACTTGGAAGGTCGTCCAACAAATCTGTCTAGTGTAGACGATTTGGACTGGGTAAAGAGATTGAAGAGTGTGTTCGAGAGCCAAGTCGGAGAGGTACTAGAAGCAGGGGAGGTGTCGACTGTGCAGAACGATGGGCCTAGTACGAAGCCGGCGTTAAGCAGGAAAGGAGACGAGGATGATGGCTTCGAAAAGTCAAAAGGTTTATGGTGGTTCGGGTGGCTCGCCGAAGTATTGATGTCGGAGAGACGGCCAACGATGATGTGGATGATTCGTATGCGCAGAAGCTTCTATGCAACCAGTAGACATACGCCTGTATTTCATCGGACCTTGCTGTCTATTGTTAAGATCCCATGAACGAGGCTCAAATTTGAATAGTAGGCGCTCCTATAGCCATATTCCCACTACACTCGTGACAGGTTGAAGGCAGCTTTCAATAGATCCATAGTTGCAGTGGTCAAAGGCCCACTCAGTAAAGTAGGGAGTAGGGTTTTTTCCTTGGAGCTTTAATGAAAGCGGTCAATTGGCGAGGGACCTTCCGTTTCGTCAACTTTGTAGATGAGTGTAGTCAGGTTGCCGGTGTTCGGGCTGGAGATTGTAAAGCAGCGATGAGGTCGCGACCTCACTTTCTGTTGGGGCAAGGGGAAAAGGGGAATAAATCAATTGGAGGACGAATAGTTGCTTCGCGTCTGGAGTGATAGACGCGCTCGACACGCTAGTGGGTTTAGCGGCAAAGTCTGCGGTCTCCCTCTCACTCTCTTGAAGTGGAGTCTGTTGACAGAAAATAGAGGAACCTCGCATGAGCTTTGCAATCCCTACTTATGATGTAACGCCAACTGGCTCACCTATCTGTAAGGAGGTTTCCAAGAGTTAAGAAAGAGCACAGGCCGTGGTTGACCGAAATTTACCCCTCAACCGACAACCGCCCATCTCCTAACTTCCAAGTGCCTCATAAGCTCCTTCTTTCCTGCTCTTTCTTCCCTTCTTTGTCCATCAAATGTCTCAGCAACGTGTTTATCGTGGTTGTTGTGGACTGTTGTGGTTCTGCACGGACGCATACACCAACGTTTCCTTATTGCATGGCTTCAAGCAGATTACACTGCTATTGGAAAGCTTCGCCGCTTGAAGCACACGCCAGTCGTCTTCCGAGTCCAAGGCCATAGGTTCCGTTAGATGCTCTCAGCTCATTGGGGAGACTTGTGGCCTTTCCGACCTTGTTAGTGTTGGGACTTCGCGTGTCTGCGCTATCGCAAGGTTTCCTATTCTTACCGATCACGCGCTTGAGCCGCGCTCATTGTATGGCGGCTTCACCAAGGCAATATGCCAATATGCGGGGGAAGCCACTATATAAGGTAAAGCGTTCTTCTACTTGTACTTTTCCATAAGTGCCTTGCTAACAGAGATAACCACCTCTTAAAACTCACGTCAAGGCTCAAGATGTATCGATATGTTGCTCTCTCACTTGCAATGGCAGCTACTAGCATGGCGCAGATACCGACGAATCTCACGTTTCACGAGTTGACCACGCAATATTTACCATTCATCTCCCTCAACACCGCCTACATCTTCAATGATACAAGAGCCTCCCAGCAACTGGCTAACGCAGTAGACAATCCTGTGACTATTTTCTTGTCTCTCAATACTCCCTTTCAACAATTTGAAGCTACACCACCGCCAAGCGGTGCAGCCGGACAGATCGAAGCCGCCAGCGTAACAAGCGCAGCATTGAACAGCGATCTATTTCAGTATCTCCAACTGGATGGCCTCCATCGTTCTACGTCCTTTAACGGGACATCCTTCATGAGGACTCGCTTCAACGACACGCAGTATGAGCACGTCACTGGAGGACAGAATATCGAGGTGTTTCGCAACGAGACCGCGTTCTACGTTGGAACGGGCATTGGATTCAAGTCCAATGTCCTCATACCCGCACGTAACTCAATGAGCACAGTGAGGTCGCACCGCTGACAAGACGCAGGATCTCGATTTTGCTGGTGGTATCATTCATATCGTAGATCACCCAATGGCGCCGCCATACTCCCTTGGAAACACTGGCACTGTCCTGAGCATCGATGCTATCGCAGGTATCATTCAAGCGAGCGAGAAAGGTCCTAGTCCTAGCTTCCTCCCCAATATTCAGAACTCCGGCGATGTCACAGTCTTTGCGCCCCAGAACTCAGCTCTTAATAATATGTCGATTGCCTCGCCTCAAATCGCCGGAAACTTCGTTGTTTCTGGACCGGTACTATACTCTACTGCCTTGACTGCTGGGACAAACTTTCTCACAACTGGAAAGACGAAGCTTTTCGTCACCACCAACGCAAGTGGGGCAATCTTTGTCAATGGATCACGTATCATCGAATCTGACATACTCACTGCGAACGGTGTTGTGCACGTTATTGAGAGGTAAGAACCCTTCCCATGCAATAGCATTTGCAAAGACCACTCGCTAAGCTGAATTTATCCGTAGTCCTTTTTAGCTCTACTAGGTCCCCAAAACAACATTGAAGCGCACTATACAATCTGTGCTTAGTGGGTCAAGCCAATGCGCAGAAGCGTAGCGGCTAGTGGACCACTCAAATCCCGCAAAGGAGAACATGGCAAGGATAGCTAAATTTAGCGATGGAAACGGTTGAAGTGGCAATTGCTTAGGATCTGACGTTAAGATCAAGACTACTGGTGACGAGATGGAACAATATACTTGCACGGAGTTTAATTCTGCGAGGTAACTTCTGATTCAGGAAAGCAATACCCGACCATACATGGCCCTATGACATACTTGAACTTGAACGAAACTACCTAGCCTTGCTCACTTGTATCTCTAGTTATTTCCAGTGAGATTCTTTTCCAAATTCCTTTTTCCAAATCCGTATCTACCTCATCTGAGCCAGAACTACCTCCCTTCCAACCTCCCCTTGCAACATTTTCGATCCTTTCTCCTTGATAAGTATCATCACACTGAGCAATGGGATGAGACTTCCATGTTTCAGTTTCAAAAGCACTCAACCTTTGCTCAGCACTTGATCTGCCTGAGTCTCTTTTCTGAACCGAATGCATCTGGTATGACCCTGTGGCCTTTGATCGTCGCCAGGACAGGTAGTTGGATCCTGACTTCAGAGTAGTGAAGAGGAGGAACATAAGTGGTCGGAGGCAAGGTAGACACGCGGCAACGATACCTAAGCACACTTCGGCCTGTGACCAGATAGCGGCGCCAACGTCGGAGTCTGGTGGCCCAAATTAGTCAAATCAACTCGTCAAAAATGGAAGATCCGCACGTACACGTGAGGTCATCGGGCCCGACATAAATTAATTTTGGAAGTCTGATCAAATTCACCACGGCGATGCTATTACCTGTAAGCCAAGGCACTCTTTTGCAGGGAGAATTAGAACGCACAAGGACCCCAGAAGGAACATGCCGCTGACAGCAATCTTCTCCGGTCTTGTTATCTGGAGATTCCAGATCATAGGCAGCGGGAGTACGACGACATAGATATCCAAGACAAGGAAAAGAATGTCTTGGGCAATCCACATGACGTGTACATTGATGCAATGCCCTCCTACGATGGCTTTGTCCCAGGAATATGCAATGGGCGAGCATTGAAATATCGTGGGAAAGACTTGTGACACGCAGACTCCAACCGACAAACCAGCGCACACCAGCAGCGCAATCTTGAATCGAGCATCTCGGAGGGTGAAAACGCGAACATAGAATAGGAGGATCGAGAGCTGGATGATGCAGATGGCAATCGGAAAAACGAGTACGTTCGCATAAAGGCCCTGGGAAGATTACCCCGTCAGCTTGCATCAGCACCTTTCGTTGTAGATGGAATCGACTCACCTTCTCGAGAACGATGGCTTCATTCGGCGTGACTGTGATCAGGTGCCTTCCCAGCCCATTGTGACCGCCTAACCTTGAATCAGACCCCTACGCTCAAGCTATGAGTAGGAAGACTTACATATGACATTGGTCACGAACTCTCCCCAGGCAATGAGCTAGAGACTGATCAGCTCTCCGATCGCTTTCCGGCATTCGAGGCTGGATACAAACCAAGGCGATCACAATAGCCCAATCATCTGCCTTCAAGCCAACTTTTGTGTGTACTCTGGTAATGAAGCGCGCAAGTACCAGCACTGTCGCTAAAGCTGAAAGTGCGGCAGTCGAACCGATGAGCTGGCCTGTCTTGCTTTGGTGGGCATGAGCAAGCTGGTATGCGGCTTCTGCTGAACTGATTGACATCTTGATATTGGGAGTTCAGAGAACGGGAAGAAAGCAGTAAACAAAATGAAGGGACGTGTCTAGGACGCTGATATATCAAACATGTTGCTGAACACGGCAAAGGACTGGCTAGGAAAAGGCCGCCACAGTTCGTCCCTCTCGCAACGTCGTCAATCGTCATCCCTAATCGTCATTCCTAGTCGTCAAAATCTTCAGACAAGGCCAGCAAGCTTTCTCGCTACCATTCCACACTTCCACGGATCTCTAACGCTGGATTTTCCCCTAGGTACATAGATCGTGCAGAAAGTTTGGCGTTAGGAGAATTAGGCGACCCGCTTCAGGTCCGCTTGATGTGTTTCTCGAAAATGCTCTGGTCGCTTAACAGCCACAATCCTCCGCGCCGCACATGTTTTCGCGGAGTCTGAGACCATGACGATTGGCAGAAAGTGAATTGTTGCGACTCACTTGCACAGCTGGGTTCTGGAACGTCCAACTGCGCGTAAATAGGCCTGCACTGTTTCAGACATCGAGGGTCGGCCAATCAATTCCCAGTCGACCTGAGCCTTACGCAGACACTATACTAGCACTAGTATGAGACGCTATATAGACCTTCTCGATTTTTAGCTTCACACTTACATTGAACAAATGATCAGAATGTCAAGATCAGCTCCCGCACCAATGAGAGGTGGAAGGAATCGGAATTGATCTTGAAGCATTTACAGCGATCCCAACCGGCACCGATGATGATGATGCCGAAAGCCTAGACAGGAACGACGTTTGATACTAAGACATGCTAGCAAGCAGAACAGAGGAACTTTAAACATCCTTTTCGTGACAGAGCACCTGCCGTTGCCCGTCAGAGCCTGATCTACCAACACAGCTACTCCTTATCGCTATCCGAGCATTGCTTGCTGAATTAGCATTCAATCTGTGAACCCTCCGTTCTTGTTCGTAGGTTTTCTCGGCATGTCGATCTCTTGGACTCAAGATATTTGCGATGGTACTAGTGCCGTTGAACAGACACAGGTGGCTATCCTGATCACGCCAATTGAACGGGTCAACACTTCGAGAATTGCCTGGTATTCTGGAAGCTACAGTATAAAAGAGGCTTCAGGGGCTTCATGTCCACAAAGCGGCTTGAAAGATGCCAAGTGATTGATGCGCTAGCGTGAAGACTGTCTACGGTCTATTGTTCTTACTCGTAGGCCTGACAAAAATCCGTCTCGGTGAAATGATCCGCCGAACATCGATACTTGCCCACTTGTCTCCTCCACTTAACCTTACAATTCATCAAGCCACCGCCAATACGATTTCCAGATACGCATCCGCTATACAGACTTCTACTTGTACTAATATACTTGAGTAGGATGGAACAGTCTTTCCCTCTAGTCCCGCGAGGCTCAACATCATTCGATTCTGCTCCGACTACACAAGAAAGACCTACAACTATAGCATATCCGAGTGCCCCTACTCCAGATGCCAGCCCAAAGCAAGTCCAAGAGTTCTTTGAACAATGTTTCCTCGCCCATAGAACACATTTGGGTGAGATAGAAGCAGAGAAAAAAGCAGCACTACTGGCGGAGAAACTTTGTATAGGTGGTATTGGCCTTTATATGTTGAGCAAGGAGACTCTCGTTGGACACTTTGGTGGTGAGGGAGAAGTTATTTATACTATTGTTCAATCTGGACAACTTAGTTATGTGAGTCGATACTCTATACATCATTTTCAGCTCCATTCATTAAGTTCTTAGTACAGGAAGGCGGCCCATGGCCTGCTCTCAAAGTTCTCTCAAAGATTTTCTTTCTGGTGGCGGGATGCAGTGGTGCATACCAATACGGCAAAGAATCCAAAGACAGAAACCTTACCGTCACAGTTGTATTCGGGGCCCTCAGCACTATCATCCTCGCCTTCCATAGATTCTGCTCTTCCGATAGAGTCGTCCTATCAAAACGCTTCTGGCCAGAATACATCAAGATCCGAAATAAGACCGCAGCAGGGGTCCTACCGTTTGTCCCCTGGTGAAGAAGCCTATGAAGACACGAGCAAATTCCGGAATGATATCAGGTTTCGGCGTCAGTTTCACCTAGATATAGATTAAGACAATGTCGTAAGAATAATCAACAGTCTTTCCACCACACCACTTATGAGTTACATCATATTGATTCCTTAATAAAATATATACTGGGGCGCGGGCTTTCTAGTAGTGAAAAGCTTATCGAATACTAGTTTTTAACTATTTAATTCTTAGAGAGACCCTCTAAAACCCCTCGGACCCTTCGAAAGCTCTTTAAAAGCTCTTCGAGAGTTTCTATCGAAGGGGCTATTAAAGTAAACTCGAAATTTAATTATTTGTCAGGCCTGATGCGTCATGGGCCTTGGCGCTGCTTGCGCCAAGGCGCCGATATCGCATATTCTACGTTAGGGTCCCTTTTAGGGTCTAGTTTTAATAACGTACCTCGTATGTCTAGGGGCTTGGCGGATATAGGTCTACTTTATATACCTCGAAGTTTTAGTATTTTTTAGAGATTAGTTCTACTATTAAATATATTATTAAATTTTATAATAATACTATATTTTTTATAGTCTATATCCGCTAGCTAATCGCTAATAAACTACGCTCTTATAATTTTAATCTCTCTATCTTTTAAAGGAAAAAGTCTATTATTATTATAATATCGAGTTTATCTCTAAATCGTATAATAAAAAATAAAGATAATATCGAGAGCCGCTATAGCGCTAATAATAAGTTCGAGAATTTCTTATTAATAAAAGATCTTATTATAGAATAACGTCTTATAATTATTAAGGTCGAAAATCGTTATTTAAAATAAGAATAAGAATTAACTATATTAAAGGTTTATAATCGCGAGCTTTATAACGCTAGCTTATTATTTATAATTAGCGAAAATTTATCTATATTAATTACTATCGTATTTTTAGCGAATATATTAATTAAGATAAAAATACTTCGCTTTAAAAGAATATATTCTTATAAGAATATTAGTAAGAAAGAGTATCTACGCTAGTTCCGCGAAGTCGAAATTAAGTTTCTTATAAATTCTAAATATTTTATTATTAATTAATTAAGAATTATTTATTATATATAATCTTTAGAAGATAATTTTAATACTTAATAATATAAATACTATTAAACTTATAATCTAAAGAATATAATTTTCGAATTCTTTAAGTAGTTTTTACTTAATTTAGTGGCGGATCTAGTAAATCGTTATCTTTTTATATACGAAAAGTAAAAAAAGATTAAATAATACTTCGATTAGAAGATATCTATTTTTAAGACTTATTTAAAGAAGCTAGAGGCCTATATAACTCTATTTTCTAAGAAATATTAAGCTAATTTCTTCTTAACTAAGCTTAGATTAGAGCTTAAGAATAAGATTTTAAGTATTAATAGTATATTAAAATAATAAAAAGAAATTCTTATCTAGGCTATTATATAGGAAAAGATTTTAAAACGCGTATACTTCGGCGGTGGTTTTTATTCGAAGTTTTTAAGAGGGTTCGCTAAGGATAAATCTTTAAAGAATTAAATTTCGAAGTCTAAATTAGCTTTAAACGACGACGCTTATATAGCGCGTATTTAAGATAATAATATAAAGCGTAAAGTTAAATTCTTTAACTCTAATTATAAGAAGAATAGTTATTTTTATTATAAAAAATAGAGTTATTAGATATCTAAGTATTTAAATCTCGATAAACCGCCTATAGTCTATATCGACGTAGTATTAATAAAAAAAGATTCGATCTTATAATCGTCTTAGAAGCGAGATAAGAATAATAATTAATAGAAGTAATCTCTTCTATTCTTACGAAGAGATAAATAAAGCTTTAGAGTAAATAGAGATAACTCATTACTCTACTCGATACTAAAGCGTATATTAATTTAATTTTATAAAAGTTCGTAATCTAATAAAACTTAGAATCTTATAACGTTATCTTATTATAATTAAAAGCGCTAAGCGACTAAAGTATATATTACTATAACGCGTATTAGCTAAATTATTAATTAGTAGATAGCTAAAATTAAAGTAAAAAGTATAATATACTCTTCTATATTATTAATTAAAAAGGTTTTAATATTATATTAAATATACTCGAGCTAAGTTAATTATAAGTATTATTAAATTTAGCGACGAAGTAATAGTAATTTAAAATTAACGCTAATAAATTATAGATTAAAGAATTAATTAAATTTACTCGAATTATTAAATAAAAGCTAAATATATTTATAATCATATACGTCGCGATAATGCGAAGCGAATTAGAAAATAGATGTAGTCTAAAACTTTTTTAGAAGTTATTAAAGTTTAATAACATTTTTTTTAATAAAAAAGTAGAAATCTTATTTACGCTTAAGTAGGGGGATTATATTATTAAGATCGAGAGCGATAAGAAGTCGCTATATAGTTTTTTATATAATCTATTTTAAACGAAGTTAACGAAGCTATAGCGTTATCTAAAGAATTTCCTTTAGAAAAGCTAAATTCGTTACTCGACTTTCTTAGTCGAAATATTAATTCTTTTTATTCTTAAAAAGAATAAGAGGCTTTATTTTTATATTGATTATCGAGGCCTAAACGCGATAACTATTAAAAATCGATACTCGCTATCTCTAATTATTAAGACTCTAAATCGCTTATATAACGCTAAAGTCTTTATAAAGCTAGATCTTAAGAATATCTATTATTAAATTTAAATTAAAGAAAGTAATAAGTAGAAAATAGCGTTTCGTAGTCGCTATAACTACTTCGAATATTTAATTATATCTTTTAGACTCGTTAATATATTAATAACTTTTTAAGCGTATATTAATAGAGCTCTTACGAGTCTAGTAAATATAATATATATAATATATTTAAATAATATTCTAATTTATAGTACTAATTTAGCGAAGTATTAGCGATATATTAAGTAAGTACTTAAGCGTTTACGCTAGTTTTAACTATACGCTAATCTAAAGAAGTATTAATTCTATATCGAGTAAATTAAGTTTCTAGAG